ATATATATATATATATATATATATATATATATATATATATATATATATATAGGTGGAAGAGTTGGAGGGAAAAACAGTGATTACGAAAGTTTTCGGTTCAACTCCATGTGACGTCTCCCAAACGCAGTTGTGTCTAAATTCGATGCTCAGTCCGATCCTTGAAGATTGTTCGTGTGAATCAAGCAAGCCGTAAACTCACCTACTGCTCTACCGGTCAAAAAGAAGCATAGTAACCAAATTCACCCAGAAATACGATTCCATTATTACTTAGCGAAAACATCGCGACTTCACTATTCTCTCAAAATAAAAGATCGGTAATTTTCACTGTACTCATTCCTGCCACTATCATAATCTTATCTTTAGTATACACAATTTATAGTCAATTCTCATTGACACTCAAAAAACAATTTCGATTATGACGATAGGTATTTCGGTTCGTATTCTAGTTCGGTGGGCGTATGCAGCGCTCTTGGGCTTTGGACTAAAATAAGATTCGTTGATCAATGTTATTATATATTTTTGTTAATTATGAGGAATATTTAGACTGCTTATACTAGAAGAATGTGCATATCGTTTATTCGGCAATAAATAATGAAGGAGTGAAAATGGGGAGCCAGTGTTGCAAGTGTTCAAATGGAAAAAATCAGCACGAAGTCACACGAAGTAGACCAACAAGTATAAATATTCGGTACGATTGAAGCATGCAATAAATAACTCTTATGTGAAGATGAATTCATTTTTCAAAAACATTTCTATTTCATTAACATCGTTGTAATGATAAAAAATTTCATATCACTAGCATGAATGAATTTCATGCATATATGTAGATCTCAATAATATATAATGACCTTGCTTTTTAAGTCATTTTTCGTCTGCAGCGAATGTCAATAGTTATATGAGCAAAACTTGGCTCGGGATATTATTGAGAAGCTTATATGGAGAAACAATTTGATTTCATACTGTGGTGCAATCACCCATTTTGTGTAGTGCCTTGAATTATTATTCAAATATTTTGAATTCATTTTTGCCCATCTAATTTTATTGAATCACCTTCTGTTTCATCAGATTTCATGGAAACCAGGAGATATCAACATTTCGCTATAAATTTCGACCGGATGAAAATATCGACCCATATAAATCGAAGACATCGAGGAGGCATTATATCAGCTACCATCCTTGTATAACTGACATTCTGGAAAATAAATATTCTTCAGCCAATGATGTTGATGAAATGCCACAACGAATCAAACCAATGAATAACAACGGCATTTTGTGGGAGCCCCAAAAAAGTGATCCACCAACCTTCATTAGAAAACTTAGTGATTTGGCTGTAAAAATTGGCACAAGAACACGATTTCTTGTCGAAATTCAGAGCACTTCATGTACCAAGGTTTTTAATTTTCCATCATAATTTTAAATCATTTACTTTATTACACGGTTTTTCACTGTGGGAGATTAAAGCGTTGAAAAGAAAATTACGAGTCAAAACTCACTTTACCAGATAAAAATCGGATAAAGTCAGATAAAAATATGTCTGGAATATAAAGATTTCTAAAAAAAAAACTACTCATATCTTTATATCAAAATAGATATTCAACTTTAATTTATAAGAGAATTTAATGCAGATCTATAGCAATATAAATAAATATACAAAGTGGAGGTAAAAATCAGTACCCCGCGGATTCCACATTATTTCAGTGACTATTTCGGAGACACATTTTCTTTTAAGACAAAAAAAAACAAAAAAAAAACTGATTCCTGGTGGCTAGAAAGCCAAAGATAAAACGGTGTAGTTGCTTAGGTAAATCGACTTGCATATTTGTCTTCCCTTCTATGCCAGCTTAGTTTCCGCATTGCATCCCACTTACTCATTCCACAAAAGACGAAAGCAGTGATTCACAAATTCTTCACTCCTCAACTGGTGAAATGGTCGAGATTAAATCAATTTAGAGAATATTCTCGTAATTTTATTTTATAGGTGACATGGCACAGAAATGATGAACCCATTCAGCTTGGGTCACATTTTTCACTTATTCATGAAGGGAATTTTCACTGCATCGATGTGGCACCAGTCACTATTGAAGACGAAGGCTATTGGACTTGTATTGCTGAAAATGATAGTGGACGATCATCCTGCAGTTGTTTCTTAAATGTACTCATACCAAAAGCCTACAAAAAACCCCATTTTATTGAAGAATTGCGAGCGCTTTTGACAGAAAGTGGGAGTGTTTCCCTAGAGTGCAAAGTACTCGGGGTTCCAACTCCAGTATTGAAATGGTTCAAGGACGGAAAAGAAATGAAAGCTGGAGATATTTTTGCTTTAACTGCATCCTCTGAAGACTCTACATCCCTAGGTATATACCGATGCGAAGCTGTCAATTGTATGGGGGTCGCCTGTTCTTCCTCAAAAGTTCATGTTATTGATTCAGAAGATGATGAAAAATCAAATTTATCCATAAAATCCTCAGGACAATTACCAATATTTAAAAAATACTTGAAGAATGAGTCATGTAAAATTGGTGAAAATCTGGTACTATCTTGTGAAATTCAAGTACCACCTTGGCCAAAAGAGGTTGCATGGTATAATGAAAGAGGCCGTGTAGAATCTAATGAAAAATATCAGATCGTAGAAGATGGATTGGGAGTATATTCAATTGAAATTCAGGATCTTGAAGCAATCGACAAAGGTGAATGGAAGTGCGTTGCAACGAGCTTTGAAAATATTAAACAATTGACAACATGTAATATCTCCATGTTGATTCCAAAAAATTATAGGATTCCGCGATTTATGGAGGATCTTCGAGCAATTCTCACAGAAGAAGGTTTAGTATCATTTGAATGCAAAGTAGTTGGATTTCCAACACCTATATTAAAATGGTTCAAGGATGGTGAAGAATTAAAACCAGGCGATGTTTATCAATTAACGGGAACAAATTCTTTGGGTTCATATTGCTGTATCGCAAGAAATTGTATGGGTGAAGCGAAAAGTACAGCTGAACTCACTATTGAAGATATCGACAAGCAGCTCAATGAAGAAGAGCGTTTACAATTAGTCAAGGAATGTACTCAAGTACCCAAATTCAAGATGGGTCTCAAATGTTGTGAAGCAAAAATTGATGAAAATTTCACATTTTCTGTTCGAATTGATGTAACATTATCATCAGAACCATCAATTTCCTGGTACCGTAATAATGAATTGATAACTGAAGATGTCAAATATAAATTGATCAAGAGCACATTGGGTAATTTTCATTTAGAAATTACGAATTTGGAATTGATTGATCAAGCACAATGGAAATGTTTAGCTGAAAATGATTTTGGTCACAGTGTTACATCATGTTTTCTGAAACTTATTATCCCAAAACATTTTAGAAAACCAAAATATCTGGAGAATCTCAAAGCCGTGCTTTCTGAGGATGGGACAGTTAGCCTCGAGTGCAAAGTCATAGGAGTTCCTCAACCTGCCCTCACGTGGTACAAAGATGGTATTGAACTCAAACCCGGAGATATTCACAGAATTATATCAGGTGGGAATGGTACATGTTGCTTAGGTACATATACTTGTCGAGCCACTAATTGTATGGGATCAGTGAGCAGTTCAGCATCTCTGGTTGGTATCGCAAATGAAACAAAACAAGTGCAAAGACAAGAAAATGAACAACTTGAAACATCAGCAAAGAACGTTTCGCTATCTACAATTCACGAAGAGCGAACTTCTCAATTGTATGATACACCTCAAACTGAAAATTCAGTAACTTTAGATGATCATGGAGAAATTTCGTTTAGTTTCGATGGAAAAGAAATTTCAGTCAGCCTCTACGAAACTCCAGATTTAACTGAGGAAGATGCTATTCAAATTGTCGAAATGTACGCAAATCAATTATCCGAGCACATAAGTGAGGGCGATGTCATAGAACTTCCACCAATGCGTTTTACCAAAGAAACGTCAACTACCGGTAATTTACTAATGGAAGCAGTTGTCATTGATGTTTCACCTGACTATTTCATTCGAAATGAAAAGTTTGAAGATCTCCGTACGGAGGTAGATGTTGAAGATGTTTCAATAATGGATGATCATTCACAAAGTAATATATCATCTTATTCGTCAGCAATAGGGGGACAATCCCCTTTAAGACCACTGAGAAAAAGACAAAAATCTATGGAAAGTAGCTCATCAAAAAGCGATCATAGTAAAAAAAGCCACCGCAAATCAATAAAAACCTTGGATTTATCAGATGATTATCACAGTGCTAACGAGCCATTATCTATGGAAGGGCAATTTTCACTTGCCAATGAAAATATTAGCACTTATGCTTCTGACGGTGATGTATTATCAGCGGCTTTTTCCGAAAAAAATTCTCTCAACAGCAACGAAACGAATAGTGATGTCAATGGAGCATTACAAGCGACGAATCTTCAATCAGTTACTGTGGATATCACTGACAATGATGCTATCATTCCAAAACCTTCCAGCAACCCGTCTGAGATACCCTACACACCCATTGATTTGAAGAGAATAAATATCGCAATGTCGGCTCTAGAACAGGCAATTCAAAAAATTTTTCTCCTAAAAGAGGAAAATGATGATTCAGGGATATTCATTATTGCTGAAAAACTTGAAATTATTTACCAGTGTCTTCATCCATTCATGTCTAGTGTTCGTTCAGATAGATCATATGGAATTATTGAAAATTATATCAACGAACTTGTCATTACAACTCTAACTGAACCATTAGAAGACCTTGCCGAAATAACAATATATTTTTGTTCATCGCCGCTCACCAACCAAAGTTTATTGAATGATTTCGAAAAAGTTGCAAAAGACTTTCAACTAAAACTCGAAACATTAGTCGTAGCTTTGAAAACATATGAAAATGAATTCTCTGAGAAAGATATTACAGAAAATTATAGACAGTTAGTGCGACACCTATATTGTATTATGAATGACATTTCCAACATATTATTGGAAACATTGTCAAATAATAATACGATGGGAGAGAAAATTTTGCATTCAACACCTGAGAATAACGAAAGTAAAACTGACATATTTGATAAAGATCATGGAGAATTCCCAGAAACAATTGATCAAGTATCTCTAATATTGAGCAGCATACATTTCGAATTGTCCTCCATATTGGAGAGAGCATCGGCTAATAGCTTTGCTGCAATTAATAAACCCGAAACATCACCGAATTTTATAGATAGTATCGAAGACCTACGGCAATGCATTGGTGACATTACAATTACTTTAGCGACATCAGTACGTCATGTTGATGATATGTCAGAGAATACTTACGATTATGTGGCAAATGAATTCAAAAAGTTGCGAGTTCCTCTAAGTCATTTGCAAGAAAACCTTTCAACTCGAGAATATCAACCAGAGGAAATATATATATTAAAGGATATGATGAGCCCTATAAGTAACTTGAAAACAGTAATTCTAAACCTTACCAAGAAACACCATTCCGAGCTTGGAATAATTCAATTATTAGAAATCATAGAGAGACATGTAGCTTTGGTTGCCATTACTTCTTCCAATGAAACTTTGATTGACGAAGTTGAGAAAACTGAAGGGATTTCTCCATCATTACAAAAGGAACAAAGGGAAGAAGAACTGACAAAATCAACTATGAATATGAATCTTGAAGAGTGCATAAACTCAGAAACAGTCTCAGATTTGGCTCGAGCTGAAAAATTACACCTGTGGGCATTGACAATTCTAGAACCATTAAATCGTCTAGCTAATACAGCACTATCACTGGACAAATTGACTGACGATGAAGTACATACACTTCTCTATAAGCCCTTGGATGCACTGGTCAAACAGATCGGCCTAATCAAATCTCAAATAAATCAGGTGACTAAACAATCATTAGAAAATGACGTGGAGACAATCTGTGAAGAATTTTTACGAACAGCTGACCAATTATGTAATGTCATAGGAATCATCATTGAAATTTGGCGAAAAGAATCAACAAAACCTGTGGTGAGGCAAAATCTTGAAGAATTCCTATATTCAGCTTCTGATTTATGTGAACAATATAAATTCCTTCAAGAGAAACTAATTGTACAAACACTAAAGAGCTGTTCTGAAGACCAAAAAACGAATACCCCCGTCATTGAAAGTATCATAGCAGTAATAGAGTCTCTTCAGAGCATTAATGATACTATTAAAATAACACTCAATACTACGACACTTGAAACGGTTACTAAAGAGAATTTATCTATGGGTATTTCCATGGATAATGAGAAACAGATAAAATACAAAGATATTGAGAACTTGAATAATCACTCTTGGATCGAAAAGCCTTCGCAGGTGATAGAAAACATTTTTGATATACAAGACTCATTGCAATCAGAGCAAGTATCGACTGAATGTCCTCCATATTCATCGGTCCCTCTTCACACTACGTCTATCGGCCATGAAATTTCACCAGATATCATGCCTCGGATTAACCAAGAAAAAACTCCGAAAATAGCTCACTACAATGAACCATTAGAGACCAAAAAAAGAGAGATACAAGTTGAAAAATTATATGAATCATTACCACCAAATTCTACAAGTAAAATTAGTGAGAAATCAGAAATTATGAAGAATCTAGTTGAAGATACAACCCACAAAACTTTTCCTATCCATGATGCATTAGCAAATTCTCAAATTGCGAATAATTCAATGATAGATTATCCATCCAATTATGCTTTTGAACGAGCGCAAATTTCATCTGATGTTGAAATTCTCGAAGATTTTCAGGTATCATTAGAAAGCAGTATTGATCGTATTGTAGAAGACGAATTGGATCGTCAAGGTAGACTAGATTGTGCATCTGTCGATTTCATCAAACTTGTTCAAGACAAAGTGCATGTCACTATATCAGCAAACTCTAACATAAATCGACAATCAACATTGGAAGATATGGTTCGTGATATCACTGTGGAACAACTTCAAACTGTCAAATCAAATGAGAATGAGACCACCAATGATAATATCGATATTTCATTTCCACCCTTGCCTGAGCAGGGATCAAATCGTACTTTGGTAAAACCGTTACAAACCATGCAAAATATTCTATGTATCAATGAAGAGGGTACAACGGAAGAAAAGCCCCAGGGCAAAGAATTATATCAATCATTAATGCCAGATTCAACTCTGACGATTATTGAAGAATCAAAGACAATGAAAAATTCAGATATAAAGAATGATGATGAGAAAAAATTGATTAACTCAACTTTGCTCAGTCAGGAAGCATTGGTAGACTCCCAAATTGTGAATAAACCAATTATGAATACTTCACAAAATTATGCACTAGAACAAGTCCAAAAACCAGTAGAAAATAATGTTTCCCAAGATTTCCAAGTGTCATTACGAGATCATATTACATTCATTATAGAGGACGAATTAGATCGTCAAGGCGCACGAAAGTGTGGATCGATTGGTTTCATTAATCATGTTCAGGAAAAAGTGCATATCATAATGTCGAAACGTTTTGATATAAATCAGAAATCAATATTGGAAGAGATGGTTCGTGATGTCACCGTGGAAGAGCTCCAAACTATCAAATCCGAAAATAATGAAGTAGTTATCAATGATAATCATTGTATGCCGTCCACACTTGTGTCTGAACAAAAATCAGCCAATATTTTGATAGAATCGTCACAAGTCATGGAATCGATACTGTGTCTTAATGAAAAAGAGCCGGAAGAAATTTTTCATAATGAATTAGAGAAAGCAAGAGAGGAAGTGCAAGGAACAGAATTATGTGAATTATTACCACCACCAGATTGTGTACAAAGATTTCATGAAAAATCTAATCCTATTGAAAGTTTAGAGAGAAATCATGAAATAGATGAACCAATCAAAGAAACATTTACCACCCATGAGCCAACACAAGATTTTCAAATTCTAAATAACCTAATAAAGGACAATTCATCAAATTATAAGCTAGAACAAATGAACATTTTACCTAATGTTGCGCATGACAATGATGCAAGAGAAAACAAGTGTCTCGAAGGTTCTGAATTATCATTAGAAAGTCATATTACTCAAATTATAGAGGACGAATTGAAGCGTCAAAGTAAGCCAGAGTGTGAGTCGATTGATTTAATCAAACTGATTGAGGCAAAAGTGCATGCCACCGTATCAAAATTTTCTAATTTAGATCAGCAGTTATTATTCGAGGAGACGGTTCGGGATATCACTGTGAAAGAGTTGCAATGTATTAAATCACATAACAACAAAGGTACCGACGACAATTTCAATACTCCATCGATACTCGTACGTGAGACAAAAAAAGATGATAAGCCCACACAACAGTTGGAAATTATTCAGAATTTAATCCATATTAATGACAAAGAGTTTCAGGGCATGGGTGATGATGAATCATTTGAAACAACGAAAGAAAAGAGACAGGCCAATAAATTATGTGAATTATTACCATTAGAATGCGCGCCAACAATTGTTGACAAATCCGAAGCCATTAATAATTGCATGAGAAATGATGAAATAGAAGAATCCATCAATGAAACATTTACTGTTCTTGAAAGATTAGAAGATGTTCCACTCATAAATGAACCAAATATGAAAAAATCTTTTACTGATGTACCAGAACAAACGCAAGTTTCACTTGACGCAGAGAACAATGAAGTTGGACCAAGTTTCGAGACATCATTAAAAAGTGATATTAAACACATTATAGAGGAGGAATTGGATCATCAAGATGCACTACAGCATGCATCGATCAATTTCATCAAACTCATTCAAGACAAAGTTCAGGTCACTATATCACAAAATCTCAATGTAGATCAGCACTCACTAATGGAAGAGCTAGTTCGTGATATAATTGTAGAAGAGCTTCAATCTATCAAATTAAGGGAGAATACAACTGAAAATAAGACTGCCAGTAATGAATCATTATCATTACCTGAATATGTAGCAGCTGATGATTCCATGCACCCCATCAAATGCAAGGAATTTGGTGCAGCAAATCAATCAAATGTGTCGTATGATGGGCCTACATGTGAAAAAATCATTGAAGATTGTCAGTTTGATAATAGTAATAAGATGGCACGTAATACATTTGAAAATAAAGAAACGGATAATGAGGATAATGAAAAATTCAGCTTCATACCTAACGAGATTAGTCTCAACGACCAGATCAGAAAATTAATCTCAATAGAATTACGGAATACCATCGTGAATTGGATTGAGGAAAAAAAACTTGTTGGTGGTATTAAACATAATATTGAAAAAAGTAGTCTATCAATATTCAATAAGGGAATTTCTCTCGAAAATATTACATCATCAATCCAGAATGAATTTGAGAAACAACTAATGAGTATTTTTGGAATTGAGAGCTTTCTGCCGAAAACAAGTGAATACAATTCTGAAACAATCACAGATATAATACTCAAGCATAAAATCGAGGAGCTAGTCATCGCCACGTTCGAAGTAATATTGGAAGAATCAGCGAGCCAAAAAACATTAATAGAGACTATCAAATATAACATAAAGGAAATTATGAAAAACGATGGAAAGTTTTTCCATCATTCAATATCTGATAGAAATATCGAACAACTTATCATTATGGAATTGGCAATGCGAAAAAAACAAATTTTTAAACGTAACAATAATCCAGAACTACAACAAATTTGGCCAATGGAAATATCCATGGATGATAGTAATGAAAATGTAACCAAGGAGTTGGTCGTACGCGATGTGGAACAAACATTTGTTAAAGTGTCTCAGGATGATGGACAGAAAGAATGGATCAAGTCAATAAATCATGTAACAATTTTAAACAACCCATTGGTTTTCCATTGTCAATTTTCAGATCATAGCCTAGAAGAGTTGAGTTCAATGGGATCAGAAATCCAAATTGTCAATGCGGCTCAATCTTGCGATCATGATGAACTACAAAACATTAGACCGACCACAAGTATTACTGATATCGCTCTTGGAGAGGCCATTGAACCGCTGATAATATCTAAGCTCGAAAGTCAATCTGCTAAAAAGATTGAACTAGAGCAATACATAGATCCTCTCAAGCCCACCTCCCAATCAATCATTTTACAAAACCCAGTAACTTCAAGTCAATGCATACATGAAGAATGCACCCAAGATCTTGAAATTGCTGAATTAAAAAAACCTGAAGCCAACGTTGTGACGAGTGATGCTTCTATGACCTTGGGAAGAGAACTCATAGAAAATATTTCCGATTTCACACCTACAGCCATAATACTCGGACGACCTAGTACCGTGGACATTGAATTTCTGTGGGAAATTCCAAAAGATGCAGTGAGCTCTGAAGCGTTCGATCATCATATTGCTGCTCTTCATCAAAATGATGTCCTACAGGCTGCATCACAACGTCAGCAACAAATTTTCAATTGTCCGCAAACATTTGACGAAATGATTCCCAATGAATATACTCAAAATATGATGGAAAATTATCCAATAGATTCAAATGTAGTAGTTGCAGATATGGATTCTTCCAATACCGCATCACAACATCAAGTAAACGTGCAGATATGGCAACCTGGACTGGTGGTGACAGATGAAGCCCACAATCCAGATAATGGAAATATACCTGAAAAAAATCATCCGAATTATATAAAAAAATCAATTGAAGATGAAAACGGAAAGTTATCAGAGGGACTATTACCAGTATGTGGAGAACAATCCTCTGGAGATTATTTTCACAAGGACCATAATGATAAAATTCACTCGAAGAAAATACTTTCTGCAGACAATAGACATGTTTTGAATTTTGTAGAGGCTATAAAAGAATTGAACATTACAGATAAGACTGCTGACGACAATCCATTATGCACAATCAAAAGTGTAGGAGGTACGGAAATTGCAGAATCCAGTCTCTCCTGTGGAATATCTGAAGAATGGATTCAAGATATTATATTGACAGAGTTCAATAAAGGAAAAATAGAACCTCTCATGATGACAAAGGCTCATGTAAATGACTTTATAATGGATATTTACGAAAACATTCATGAAAAATTGGAAAAAATGTATCCAAAAGATATGCTGGAATATAGCAAGTGCTTGGTATTGGAGAGATTACATGAATTGATAATGAATGAAATAAGTACAATGACAATAAGAAAATTGGAAGAACCGTCAAAATATAAGAGAGATCACTCGATCAATTTACATGTTGATGATGTGGAAATAAAACCAGAACCAATCAATATCATGGGTGTGTATGATGGCGAGATAAGGAATATGAACATATCTAATGAAGAAGTGGTTGAAAATTTTGAAAAAAATGATCGCGAAACAGTGAATGGTAGTGCAGAAAATTTGGAAAAAACGGCAATAGACCAAAAGAAATTAGAAGAAATTTTAAATTCTCAGCAAGATGAAAAGTCGCACGAAATATCAGGAGGCACATATGGAGAGTCCGATCTCAGTAATATTCAGCAACAAATGACATCAATGCCATCAGCAACAAATGATAAATTGTCGAAGAGACAAGTAGTAGAACCAAACGACTGCTCAATAAAACCCGACAAACAATTAAAAACGAGTAATATTATGCTTGATATAGAGTCAAAAAATATACTTTCCAAAGATAAAGTGAAAGATGTGATAGAAAAGCACGATGAAGTTTTAAATGATATTTCTAAAAGCAATAATGAACAACAATTGACAGTGAATAATGAAAGAGACTTTATGAGAGAGAAAAATTTGGTTGACGCAAATGTAAAAGAAAATCAAGTCTCAAGAAAAGAAGCTATTCCCAGCAATTCATACGAAGATGAAGCACGTGTAAAAAGACAAAACAGACAGAAGAGTCGAATGAATGAACAGAAGTTATTTGAATCTCACGATACAATGAACAATGAAATTCACCAAGTACATGAAGATTATGAGCAATCACATACTGAACGAGAAATTTTAAACAGAAGTGAAAAAGTCAAGAAAATTGGTTATACTAAAACAAAAGAGGCAGATAATATACCGCAAATCTTGGAAAGAAATGTTGAGACGATGGAAAAACTAACGAGAAATCAAATCCCTCCTTCTGAAGCAACAGATAAACTGGAAAGCAGTCAATATATTGGAATTGGACTAAAACAACGATACATGTCTGATATAGAATCATATAACGAAGACTTACTTTCGAAATTGGATTTGGGGGAGACTAACGTAACTATAAATTCAGAGTCATCAGAATCCTCGGTATCAAATATGATCTTAGGAGAATTGAAAGAACGAGACACTTCAAGCTTTCTACCGTCAATATCAATTGACATCGACGAATTCATGACGAATGATCGATCCCAATATTCTGATCTCTCAGACAAAAAATTGGATCGATATCAAAAGTCTGATGCTGATAGGGAATACTTACCTGGCCCAAGAAATAAAGGGAAAAAACCGATTTTCTGTATGAAATTAATAGACCGAACTGCAGCTGCAGAATCAAGAATAAAATTGACTTGTACAGTACTCGGTGATCCTGAACCTTTTATGCTGTGGATGCACAATAGTAGAGAACTATTGCAAACGAGTAACCGATATTGCATAACGAACGATAATGGAGTAGTATCTTTGGAAATTTATTCAGTAAGACCTCAAGATTCTGGAGATTATACCTGTAGTGCTAAAAATATTTACGGTGAAGCATACACTGAAGCTAAATTGAAAGTTTACGCTGGCTATGAATCTACACAGTTATTGCCTATCTTCACAAGACCGATGAAAGGTATGTATTAAATAGTTTTTCATCACTTGTGTAAATGTTGAATCCCACTTTTCACAGATTGTGATGAAAAATAGGGTTCGACACTCGTGAGAAGTGTTCTTTGACCTTTGGGAGGGTAGCACTTGTCTTCGGCGAGCATAACACACACCTCCCACAGGTCAAAAGTCGAGCAAAATGGGCCTTCTTAAAATGGTCAATACTGCATATTCCCGAGTCGAATAATTGGACCTGACAAGTTCTACTTAGGTCTTTCCATTCAGAACTGGATAGGTCTTGGGAAGCCTCTTCCCAAGTGCTTCCGAGACCTTTCTACCTCTGGTTATGTCCCATTTCAGCACTTGTTAGGTGTAAGCAGGACTTGCATTCAGACTTTCCAAATCCTTCCCGGTCCCCGTAATTCTATGGGCCTATATTAAATCTGCGTTCATATCCCTGTTTACTCATGCGTTATTGAAATAAAAAATGCAATTATTGTTTTTTTTTCAATGAGATGCATGTATGTGGAGGCTTGACATTTTTACCCAACAAGGGGAGAAGGTTGCAGAATCTATTCTAGCCACTCTTGTCCCTACGCTTGCATGTATTATCCAAATAAAAAATGAAAGTGTCAACAAATCTGACCATTGTTCCAAGTAAAAACCGAAAATCTGACCCTGTGGCCCCCGGTGAAAAAATTTTTTTTTCAATTTTCACTTTTTCCACATAGTTTTGAGAGTTCTGAATAGCCCGTCGCTTATATAGTTGGAATCAACGTTCACCCGGCTAAAAAATTCGATTTTGGCGAAAAATCCAAGATCTGACACTTTGACCCTTGTGACCCTTGGACCGACTTTCCCCCCGGAAAAATCCAAGATCCGACACTTTGGCCTCCGGTGAAAAATTTTTTTTTTCATTTTTCACTTTTTCCACATACTTTTGATAGTTCTGAATAGCCCGTCGCTTAAATAGTTGGAATCAACGTTCACCCGGCTAAAAAATTCGATTTTGGCGAAAAATCCAAGATCTGACACTTTGACCCTTGTGACCCTTGGACCGACTTTCCCCCCGGAAAAATCCAAGATCCGACACTTTGGCCTCCGGTGAAAAATTTTTTTTTTCATTTTTCACTTTTTCCACATACTTTTGATAGTTCTGAATAGCCCGTCGCTTAAATAGTTGGAATCAACGTTCACCCGGCTAAAAAATTCGATTTTGGCGAAAAATCCAAGATCTGACACTTTGACCCTTGTGACCCTTGGACCGACTTTCCCCCCGGAAAAATCCAAGATCCGACACTTTGGCCTCCGGTGAAAAATTTTTTTTTTCATTTTTCACTTTTTCCACATACTTTTGATAGTTCTGAATAGCCCGTCGCTTAAATAGTTGGAATCAACGTTCACCCGGCTAAAAAATTCGATTTTGGCGAAAAATCCAAGATCTGACACTTTGACCCTTGTGACCCTTGGACCGACTTTCCCCCCGGAAAAATCCAAGATCCGACACTTTGGCCTCCGGTGAAAAATTTTTTTTTTCATTTTTCACTTTTTCCACATACTTTTGATAGTTCTGAATAGCCCGTCGCTTAAATAGTTGGAATCAACGTTCACCCGGCTAAAAAATTCGATTTTGGCGAAAAATCCAAGATCTGACACTTTGACCCTTGTGACCCTTGGACCGACTTTCCCCCCGGAAAAATCCAAGATCCGACACTTTGGCCTCCGGTGAAAAATTTTTTTTTTCATTTTTCACTTTTTCCACATACTTTTGATAGTTCTGAATAGCCCGTCGCTTAAATAGTTGGAATCAACGTTCACCCGGCTAAAAAATTCGATTTTGGCGAAAGTCGACTTTCCCCCTGGCAAAAATGAAAATCTAACCCTTTGGCTTCGGGTGAAAAACAATTTTTTTTAGTTTTCACTTTTCCCACATATTTTTGAGAGTTCTGAATAGCCCGTCACTTAAATAGTTGGAATCAACACTCGTCTGACTAAAAAATTCGATTTTGGCGAAAGTCGACTTTCCCCCTGGCAAAAATGAAAATCTAACCCTTTGGCTTCGGGTGAAAAACAATTTTTTTTAGTTTTCACTTTTCCCACATATTTTTGAGAGTTCTGAATAGCCCGTCACTTAAATAGTTGGAATCAACACTCGTCTGACTAAAAAATTCGATTTTGGCGAAAGTCGACTTTCCCCCTGGCAAAAATGAAAATCTAACCCTTTGGCTTCGGGTGAAAAACAATTTTTTTTAGTTTTCACTTTTCCCACATATTTTTGAGAGTTCTGAATAGCCCGTCACTTAAATAGTTGGAATCAACACTCGTCTGACTAAAAAATTCGATTTTGGCGAAAGTCGACTTTCCCTCTGGAAAAACAGAAAATCTGACTCTTTGGCTCGGGGTGAAAAAAAAAATTTTCTTTCGACTTTTATCGCGCCTTCGGGGGTTTCATGGGCATCAGAATTGTTAGAAAATACAGAATCAACTTTCACTTGGCGAACAAATTCAATTTTGGCGAAAATCGACGTTCACCCTTGACCCACGTGAAAATGACAAATTTTTTTCCCCTTTTCTTTCACCTCCGAGGGTTTCATTGGCATCAGGGGGTCAATAAATACAGAATCAACGTTCACTATTTTTTATTTAAACACCGCCTGCAAACGGGGAGATGAGGGTGGCTAAAATATATTCTGCAACCCTGTCTCCTCGTTGGCTACAAATTTCAACCCTCCGCATACATGCCTTCCCCTTCACCCGCTCGTAAAATCACGCGTTCTCGGTAGCATCGCGGAGGACTTCTCAGGACCGAAAAGAACTGAGGATTCGAAAGGTCTCTGGAAAAGTACGTCGCAGAACTGATTAGGACTTACCAGGTCCATCTAGGTCTGGAGAGATCTTGAAAGACCTGTGTACGTCCAATCACAACCAAATCCTCGACTCGGGTTATGAATTCGTCATGTTCAACTCGGCTTATACAAAGTGATAGACGATTAAATCCGATTCATGCTATACAGCTCTTATTATATTCCATATATCATAAAGATTCCTTATATTAGATACATTCAAGTTCGGTGACGATAAACTCGTTCTGGAGTGTAGAGTGAGAGCTCAACCTCCACCGGTCATAACGTGGTTGAAAGATGGAAAAATTATAGAAATGAACGACAGATACAGACAAAGTGATCTAGCAGAAGGAATATGTCGCTTACAAATATCCAATCCAGGTGATTATGATAATGGTCTGTACACATGCAGAGCAGAGAATAAATCTGGCTTCAGTGAATGCAATTCTCATTTTACATATCATGACAATGCAGGTAAAAATTTATATTTCCATCTATCTAAGTAATTGTATCATAAAAAGTAGAACATAAATTCTTATCTATTCTGTGACTCTCTTCATAGTTACTCCAAATTCTGACGGAGCGAGTATGAGGACTCATAAAAAAAGACCTATTTTAACTACTGAAATGCATTCCACTATGGGTTATGACATGTATTCATCCAGTCTGCTGAGTTCTGATTCATCTGATTTTGAGCGTTCCAACGATACCTATCGAACAGATAAGACGTTTGGTAATATTGAATATGGTAATGTAAAGTTTGACGGAGGATACTTATACTTGAGAGAAAACGGAAAGCCAGCCACATTTATATCACGTCCCGTTGACAAGGTAATCAATGCTTGCGTTGGAGAAGATGTCAGTTTATCATTCAGAGTAGGTGGAGTACCTAAGCCAAAAGGTATAGTTATGTTATACAAACTAGTAAACGTTTATCATCATAATACCTCCAATTTTTACGATAATTCCAGTGATTTTGATGAAGGGACTGGTAGATATCACGAACGGCGCTAGATCGTACAAAGAAAGTCATGATGATTATGTTAGAATTACATTCAAGAGGATTGAGTATCAGGATGAGGGAACATACTGTATTCTTGTTAAAAATCGTTATGGCTATGATCGTAGTTTCTTCACGATCAGGGTAATGCTACCAATATTCTTCATTTTTTCATATTAACTAGAATTTTATTCAATATTCAGATTAAACAACGTGCAAGGTCATTAACGCCAGCAAGATCAACAGAATGGAATTTCGAGAATATGAATAAGTACCTGAGTCATAGTCACGAGCCAAAGCCATCAGAATTCAAATGTAAATATTTTTTTTATCGTGAGTGCTAATTCTATACTGTCTATTACAAATTATTTGTTTTTGTTTTTTGTGCTTTTTTGGCTTCTTCTTCAATTGTGTCAGGAAGAGATATCTAATTACAATCATTTACTAAAGTTCTGAAACAATCTAAACTTGCATTCTACGTATTTTGTTTCAGAACTTCGGTAAACGCTTGTACAAGTCAGTAAGTAATTGTATATTTCAGTCTTGTGGAGAAAAAATCAAGCGCCCTGGTAACATGAGCAATTTCAAGGCGTTACCTAAATCCAGTTTTGATTAGAAAACTGTGCGATTGCCATGCCAGCAATATGGATATCTGAGCAATTGAAACAATGAAGATACTTCGTTTTTGTGTTTAAACAAAGTAGTGACTTGAACAATATATCCAAAGAAATTATACTTTTATCTTAGACTGATGAACAGTCAAATGTATCCAAACTCATTTATTTCTCCTTTTTGTATTAGTGATTGAAGCATGCTTTATTATATCATTTTAAACGTTCATTGAATTTTTCACTTAAAGACCTAACTAGAAATCCTATCCCAACCCTTGGATTCAAATATGGAGAACCTGGGCGAACTCTCCGCGAGTATGCGACTATTACTATCGCATTAAAAAGTTTTTTATTCTTGTGTCGAACAAAAATCCAGTGCATTCACTTTGTCCTTTCTATGAATTGATTTACCAATCTTCAGGAATTTTGCAATACCGAAAAACCCTGTAATGTCAGGAGTCTAGACTTTTTGAGCCGATAGTAATAACCAAAACAATCGCCGAGGGTTTCGATTGATATAATCAATCGTTCTGAGAATAATTCTAAGTAGTGAAAAATCTTCCACGTTACGCAATATTGACTGAATTGTAATAAACAAATTATAGGAAATTCAACATTTGACTTTTTGACATGAATATTGACTTTCGTACATAAGTGCTGAACGAGATGCTGTTGGAAATTTTTTTAGCGAGAGTTTTTCATCTAAATGTTCACAGTCATACCAGGTCCTATCTCTAGTGAACCCGTAGTGATCGACGGTGGAAAAACATGGTTGGCTTTATCCTGGGGTAAAGCTGAACAACGAGGACCAGCATCAATTATCGCTTACCGAGTTGATGCATGGTTACTTGGTGGTGATTGTGGAGCCCGATGGATAGAGGTATTCGACTAGACTTTCTCTGTCTGTGTATGTAATTACACAACAATCGATCAATAATTCGCTTTGTTCAAGAAATCATGGGAATCGTTGAGATTTCTGAATTCCAATGATATTAAACGTTAAATAAACAAATAAATTCATAACAATAATAATAATAATAATAATAGTAATTGTAGTAGTAGTAGTAATAATAACAACATGAAAAAGAAGAAGAACAATAATAAAAAGACCCAACCTACGTGTTTTCTATTCAAGCTCGGAGTAACATCAACCAATTCATTTGATGCCTTCAATTTGTGTCCCGGCAAAGAATATAAATTTAGAATTACACCAAGAAATCAATATGGATGGGGAGAATCTGTAACTATGACGAATTCTGTCATTGTAAAAGAAATTATAAAATTTCCCGAATTTTCAAAAATGTTGCCAAGTCAATTGAAAGCACTCGAAGGGACGACGTTGAAATTAGATTGCGAGGTGAGTTAATATTAATTAGAAGGAATAATAAGTCAATGCCAATATAATGATCGAATTTATATGTATATTCAATAGATTAATAATAATAAATCTTCCACTCACATACGATGGTACAAAGATAGTGCCGAACTCGATGGAACACATGATCCAAGATTCATCATCCATAATATCGATTCAAAATGCTCTTTGTCAATTGTTGATATCAAAGAAATTGATTCGGGTAGATATGTTTGTGATGCTACAAACGTTGCTGGAAGGGTATCAACTTTTGCAAGAGTGCAAGTCGTTACTGATCCCAAGATTGCCGATGCAGATGAAAAATTACGAACGATGAGGTCTATTTTCATTGTCAATAAATGGAAATCAAATGCATACAAAAAATCCCAATGAATTCTGTAGTATCTATATATTTTTTTCATTCTTCCCTCAGAACAATCGATAGTATGAGTGAAGAGCGATCACCAGAATTTACGATGAGACTTCGAGATAGACGTGTCCAAGCAACATATCCCGTGAGATTAACATGTCAAGTTGATGGTAATCCAGAGCCCGTAGTAACTTGGTATAAAGATGAAGAAAAAATTGATATTGAAGGTACAAATCGATTATATTATTTACTAACTTATCAAGTTTTTGGATGATAATTACAAATTTATTTTAACAAAGGTATGAATTGTCAAGTGGAAAATATGAGTATATCGAAAGATGAGGCCCATTTTCATACTTTGGAAATAAGTCGCTCGAAAATTGATAATACGGGTAATTATATGGTAAGAGCGCAAAATGTCCATGGATGTTTATCATGTCGCTGCCATCTTATTGTGGATGAGGGCATAAGGGCATATATTGCTCCACAATTTACGCACTTGCTGAATTCAATCTATACTGTGATTCAAAATCATGAACTTCGAATGACTGCGCAACTAGAAGCTTATCCCGCTGTTGGTATTACTTGGTAAGAACTTTGATTTTGTTTCAAATGGATTCAAAATTTAGCTATTCTATTTATGGGTGCGTTTTGATTATACAGGTACCGGAATGGAAAGCGCCTTCGTCCCAATAGAAATACAGTAATGTCATTGCATCATGATGGAACTGTAGAACTGACGTTAGCTCATGTATCATACAAAGATTCTGGTTTTTATTGTTGTATAGCAACAAATGAAGTAGGACAAGCCGAAAGTAAAACCCAAATACATGTTTTAACAAATGGTTATGAAAATGATGTTGAAAATTCCCTTCAATTATCAATGGAAATTGGACAATCCTCAAACATACCGTAAGCATACGAATAATTAATCCCATGACATTTATTAATTATTATGTAATTAAACATCTTTCAGGTATTCCAAAGAGCCGGTATTCATTACAAAACCACTGTCAACAGATGCTTTTGAAGGTGATAATATTATCATTGTCTGTCAAGTTATCGGAGATCCTGAGCCAGATGTTATCTGGCTTCGCGATTTTTTACGGGTAAGCCATAAAAGAAAATATTGAAAAATTGGTAAATATAGAATAGAATTTTATGTATTTCTTCAGTTCCTTGGAGAAAAATATTTCAATTACATGCAAAAAAAAACCTTCACATACACCGGTATTCATATAGCTCCATCATTCATTCATATTGTATGAATAATATAAGAGTAGTATTTTCAGCGATTGCCATTTATGAACCAACTGAGTTTAAAACTTTCTCTCTATATATGGTTAACAGTATAAAATTAATCTTCATCTAACTTACATTCATAATCTCAGCATATATAGGCAGCATATAGCCGGATATTGCGGCCTGCGTGTTAAATATTTATTGAAGAAAAATACATATATGTGTTTCAGCCTGATTATTACAAAGATGCCCCACATTTTCGACCAGTGGGCTTAGGCCCACAATATCAGCTTGAGATTCCATATGCTAAGTTGGATTTCACTGGAACATATTCTGTCATAGCTAAGAATTGTTTTGGAGAAGCTAAAGCAGTAATATCTCTTCAAATTTATGCTAGAGGTAATTTTTAGAATGACGAGAACAAAAATTGATTGATGGTTATAATATTGAATATCATTATACTATAGATCCCGAAAGGCAAGAGATTAATAGGAAACAGACAGTAAAACATAGGTATGAATTTATACTCCAGAAAATATAAATCAAGTATCTGGTCTCAAGTCTCTGTGTAAATTGGATTTTGTGTTTTTTTTTTTTTTTTTTTTTTATGACTTTTATAGTGAAATACAAACATTGCCAGTAATTAAAAGCCCATTGAAGAATATTCGATGTTGTGATGGAGATGCCGTTACATTCATTTGTAAAGTTGATGCTACTCCACCACCGTGTATTCGATGGGAAAGAGGAAATAAGGTAATACGTAGTTATTTTTTTTGTTATTCTATTTTTCCTAATCAAAACCACACATCAAATGATACGCAATTTCTTCATTCTGTTTGAAAGTTAGTGCCACTTCAAGATGATGTAATTTTCGATTTTGAGAATGAAACGGCACAGTTACACATACAACAAGTATATCCAGAAGATGAAGGCGAATACGTTTGTGTAGTTTATAACGATCTAGGTAGTGCATACACGTCAGCCTGCTTGATAGTGGATGGTAATTGCCAATTGATAATTCCACCCTCTCAATAATTAATGAAAATCATTGAAACTGCCATTTTCATATTACAGTACCTGAAGGTAAAGAAATATCTATCAACCGAAGATTGAAGAAGCCCATACGTTTACTCTCTCCAAATGCAACGCCCATTTCAACTCCAAGGTCAACACCAATACGGAGCCTATCGCCGGCGTGCGTCAGTAAGTAATACTTATAGTATTGCAATGTTATTTATTTATTTATTTTTCATTCTTTTTCTCTTTCTTATTATTATTATTATTATTGTTATTATTATCTTCTGTGGTGTATTTGTATCGCAGTGCGAGAGCCGACGCAGAAAACTGGACGACGTCCGAGAATGCCTGCTGCACCGAAATTTTATGCTATACCCCATAATCGTGTTGCTGAAGAAGGAGACACTATCAGATTCCAGTGTGCCGTCACAGGACATCCAACACCCTGGGCAAATTGGGACAAGGATGGCACAACTGTTATATCAACTGCAAGAATTTCTATCAGAGAGAAGGACGATTTGAGAATTTTGGAAATTGTGCAAATCACATATGAAGATGCTGGACTTTACCGAATCACATTAGAAAATGACATTGGTAGAGTCGAAGCGACTGCGCGACTTGAAGTCATACGAGGTTTCCCATTAACATTTCCTTTTAATATTAGAGAACATAAATTGCCGTTATCTTCAAAGAAATTCATCATTGTAGGTAAACAGGGATCTATATCAAGGGGAATTGCACAAACTTCTTCGAGACAGATACATTTAACTAACGATCGCCCACATAATCATGCAGCATTGACTGCAGAGATCAAGTGCGCAGAATTTAATTCTACCCAGAGTCGAAAATATTTGAAAAATTTATCCAATCTATCAAGCCCATTTGAGAATGCATTGTCATATTTAAAGGATAAATTCGATTCTAAAGACACTGACAAGATACATACTCCAGCTATTTCATCAGCACTTTTAGCAATCTATAGCAGGTTTCTAGCAGAGGCGGTGCAGTGGTTCCATAAAGTATGGATAATCTGTATACTATTTCAAATAACAAGAATATATTCTGGTGCTAGATGATTTATTAATGTGCTCAAGAAACATGGAAAAAGTCGCTAAAAAATTCTACATTTATTTTCACTTGGGTTTCTTGGAAAAAGAAAAGGATTTATTTTAAATGCACGGAAAAATTCATCACTATCTAAAATTCTTCAATGATAATCATGTAATTTTATTTATAATTCTAGGGCCAGGAGGAAATGATACTGAATGATCATATAAAAATTCAAAGTATAATGGGTCTTTCTCACCGAACTTTGAAAAAAATTACGTGCAAAGAAGCAGGGAAATATAGTATATGCCTTGAAGATGCAGTTGGCAGAGATTTAATCGGTGCAAATAAATCTCGCCATACTCGACGCCAGTTGTTTTCTTATCAATAAAAAAAAAAACAAGGATAATATATAGTAAAAAACTTCAAGTATAATAATGTAAATGATACATGTCCATTTTTTTTCCTCAAGGTTGCACTACAATTCGTCACGTCTTTAGTTTCATTTTATTGTATTATTATAATGGTATTCCAAGTAATTCAATTCGTAATACGTATCTCGAACGATACTTAATTACCTACCACGTTGTCTCTGTGATCTTCTCCATAGGATGTAGATGTAAGAATCTGAAACTGACGACTTACGTATACTGTCGCTAATATACATACAGAGTGTATAGAGTCTAACGTAGTATACGTATACCAAGACATTTCTGGGTTCTCCCCACTATATTCCAAGGTCTAAAGTAAATACTCTCATGCCTTCAGACGTTCAGTTGCTCATCAGGCAGTCTTGTTACCACATTTGTCGAGAGCATCATTCCTCGATTAGTCGACTTATGTATGAAATATAAAACTATCGCACATTGTATCAATTACAATAGTTGAATGCACTAGAAATTGTTTACTTTTAGTTTTCAATTCTACAACTAACTTAATCTCGTTGCAATGAGAATCCTTATTCGAGTGTGTAATAGATTCAATGAAATATTTCGATAATAAATTTCTTCTTCTTTTCCTAGATTCATCAATTGTGATAAGCCCAAGGAGTATCACAACAGGGAATGGTATACCAGCAGTATCCGAATGTGGTTTTCAAGTTAGTGATATTGGTAAATCACAGATCGGAAATATTACAAAAAACAGAATGGACAATTCCTCAATGAAAACGGACGGCATAGATGAGGAAGGTACGATGAGGAAATAGCCATAATTTTATATTAATAAAATATCAACTTGATAATTAATTGACAACTGGTTGTGAGTGTAAATTTCCAATATGTCAAGATTCCGAAGATTTGGGTGAAACATCACAATCTTTCATCGTTGAAGTGATGCCGAGATACATCTTTGATGCCCACTTTGACACCCTTGAGGAAATTGGTAAAGGTCGATATGGCGTTGTTCGAAAAGTAATCGACAAATCGACCAAAATACATCGAGCAGCAAAATTCGTTCGAACGATTAAAGCCAAGGATCGTCAACAAGTACTGAAAGAAATTGATATTATGAATGCAATGAACCATCCTAAGCTGTTGCGATTGATAACTGCCTTTGAAGGTTCAAAAGAAATGATTATGGTTACAGAATAGTATGTACAATTCAATTATATTTTATTATTTAATTTCTTTTTTATCTCATACACCATTAATTGATGATTAGTATCTCGGGAGGAGAATTGTTTGAGAGGGTTGTAGCGGATGATTTCACATTAACAGAAAAAGATAGTATACTTTTTGTCAGACAAATTTGTGAGGGAGTTGCCTACATGCATGATAAACACATAGTACACATGGATTTGAAGGTTTGTGGAAGACTTAATTATTGGATAATTTATAGAAATATCAAAATTGTGTTTTCACATTGTTTTAATTTGGATGAAAAATTTTAGCCAGAAAATATAATGTGTCAATCACGTACGTGCCATCGAATAAAATTGATTGATTTTGGTTTGGCTCAAATGCTTACACCGAATACGCCAGTACGAGTATTGTTTGGAACGCCAGAGTTCGTTTCTCCGGAAATAATTAGTTTTGAACCTATTGGTCCAGAGTCAGACATGTGGAGTATCGGGGTCATCTGTTATGTACTGTAAGACATATTACTTGATTGCTCTTTTTACTTTTAAATGAAAGATGTGTAATCGATGGATTTGACGATTTCCCTATTTTACCTAGACTAGAAATTATTGTAGAATGTCTGTTACTAGATGAATAATTTGGAAGAAATTTTTAAAAAACTGAATGGGTACTTTTTGTTGCAGATTAACGGGACTATCACCTTTCATGGGTGAGAGTGATGCAGAAACATTCGTCAATATTACGCGTGCTGATTATGATTTCGATGATGAAGCTTTCATTGCCATTTCCAAAGAAGCCCTTGATTTTATCAGTTCACTTTTAATTAAGAAAAAAGAGTACGTACTTAATAACATATATATGTTCGGAATAGTTATAAAATAGGAAAAGATAGAGGTAAAACTGCCAATATCTCTATTTATGAATAGAGATATCGATCGAAATTGAAGTAGATCACAAACGTTCCACCAACTTTGCCCCATTCTTTTCCAGAGCCTTTCATTTTTATACATTAATTTTTTTAGATTGCGAAGATCGGCAAGGAATTGTCTGACACATCCTTGGTTAACGCAGTGTGCAGAAAAGATGAGTCAAGTAGTTTTATCCACAGATAAATTGAAAAATTTCATTATTAGACGAAAGTGGCAGGTGAGAATTCATTAAATTGGCCGTGAAACGTAATCCAGTTTGTCTTCATATGCGCGCGTGTGTTTTCTGTGTGTTTTTTTAAATTAATTAAGCATGATGTTACGCATGAATTTCGATTTTCTGCTTATTAGAAGACTGGCAATGCTATTCGTGCTTTGGGGAGAATGGCGATCCTTTCGGCTAAAAGTCGAAAAAATACATTGACCGAAGCAGCATCTGGGGAATTTGAAAATTTTGATTCATCTTATGACGATTCACCAAAAGATAATCCCGATTCACTAAAGTTAACATCACACTATCCCACAAATAATTCTTCACCAGAGATAATCAACGATGAAGAATCATTGATAATGAAAGGCACACGTTTAGAGAAAAATTTCAACATGGCCACTTCCGATGAAAGAAATTATTTTTCACAAGGAGAATGCAAAAAGGAAACAAAACATGGATTATTTGATGAAAGTGGAGAAATATGCGAAATCATAGCTTTTGGCAGAGATGATAATATCAGTAACAAAGATATGAATATTTCAGCACTAAGTCAAGATTCGCAGGAGATGAATGTAGTGTTAGATGACAAAAAATTAAAACCATCTTTTTTTTTTAATAATTTTTCAACCATTTACGAAATGACTCTTGAGAATGTTGAAGGACCCACTCCAAATGAACGTGAAATGCCCCTATTATCTCGAAATTCTTTTAGCACTTGTGATGACACTGTTTTATTGAATAAGGATAGTTGTGAAACTAATAACCTGCAGCTGGGTGTGTTTATAATGACTTTTTTCGCTTACTATTTTATATTGATAAGGAATTTGAGTACTTACATTCCATCACTTTCTAGATAATGAAGATGAAGAAGGTGAGATCCCAAGGATAATAACAACAACAACAATGACATCCTTGCGACATGTACGAACCGGGAATGTTAGCCGCACTGCAAAACTTTTTGAAACAGCAGAAGATGTGTCAGTAGTACTTCAGCATCCATCTAGTGGCTTAAATTTACCTTCTACTAGAGGCGCACGACTACACAATGAAAGAATTCGCAAAGTCTTCGAATTTTGGAATAAATAGCAATTATATATATTCATCAACTTTTTTAATAACGAAACGTACTCTCAAATATCCCTAAAAAAATGTCCCGCAAGTGAATGTCATAGAAAAAATGAAGTATTATATATTATTTACTGGGGATATATCTTAAGAATTAACAAGTTCCCAAATGAAAATAAAAATCACAAATGGAACATCCATATTGGAAATTTTAATGCTAATGACAATAAAAGAAAGAAGAATTTGAATTTTTTTTTTTTAATCCATTGATAAGTGATACGCAGACAGTAGATTGATAAATAATTTTCTTAAAATATTAATTCGTTGAATACGAATATCAGTCATGATTAACATTAATAAGTGAAACAAACACATTTATGTTAACTACCTAATCTATAGTCACTGCCGATTATTGAGTTATCACTATTTAAAGAGAAAAATACTTGTTTTTTTAGTGAATATGATATTGAAACATTGAAATTTGGAGTCAAGTGGACATGATTATGGAAAAATACGAGGTAGAAAACACCTTCCTCATATTTCTGGTGCATGTATCAACAGGCGTATGACCGCATGATTTTTCAAAATTTCCTCGTTTTTCTCGAAATGAATTTTCATTTCCAATCGATAATTTGTAGCCTATGGGTATTCAATTTCAATTAAATAAGAACAGCGAAAGGCCGCTTTGTTACAAACAATCTTTGCAACATTTTCATTTGATGATTCAGAGCCGTAAAATCGCGCTATGCTGGGAATTCCGTTGTTCCCCCACCGCTGGAGGAAACAGGAAAGCAATGTATTTTATTTTGTATATACTAGTCGTATATATATATATATATAGAAGCAAGAAGAATATATAGAGAATAGCCATGTGATTCCATATTCTCTGCGCATGAAACGGCTGAGGGAATTTGCGCAGGCGCCCGGTCAACTGAAGTCTAGCCTCAGCCTGCCCATGTGTGCCTTTACCTCTGTATCCAACATAAAAGTAGAGACAAGGTCACCTTGACTAACATAAACTCTCCGAATCTTGAACGTGCCGGTTGTGAATTATTACTCTCCTCTTACTCTCACTTTTCATCAATCTCTACAAAATAGATAGCTGTTATTTTTCGGCAAATTGGTAATCATTATTTTCCCTCAAAAAAGGTAAAAACTCAAGTTCAATTATTCTTCTACTCCAATATCAATCCACATCATGAATTGCATCAGATATTGCTTCAGTTCAACAATTGATTCTTTCTCTTCTAAACAATAATTGATGTTTTTTTTTTATTCGAAACAACAAGATTTTCATCATCCAAACGATATTTCTCACACAATAACCACATAACCTCCCAATATATTCATACACATGTATATCTTTGCTTCTTGGTGTCATTAAATTCTATTCCAGGGCATTCACAATAAACTTATGTATATATAACTTTATTTTATTATTGAAGAATAACATTGCAACCAATCATAAGAATCATAGACTTTTTAAAAAAATATTATTCACCACGTTTCATGAAACATTCAATAAATTGTAAACATTGTAAAAAAGTCAAAAGGGTCAATACTGTCGTCTACTAGGTTTACAACTCCAAAATGCGTGAGTGGATTTCTTAGCATGCAGTTGGTCACGTACACTTGGGGTATTTCTGTCTTTATCTGTTGACTTTGAGCCTTCAAACCTCATTAGTAACTTTGGAATTTCAACAATTGACAGTTAAATTCTTCAACATGTATTAAAAAATTTTTTTTTTTTTGTTTCAGAGAAGAAATATTATTTGAAAAATGAGTACACTGAAGGAGAAACTAGTGAGCGTAGTGACGGAGCCAGTCGCTACAGGAAAGAACAAAATCACTGTCGTTGGTGTTGGACAAGTTGGGATGGCCTGTGCCTTTAGCATTTTAACAAATGTAATTATTACATTTTATAAATAACTACTATAATTATCGAATAAAATTGATTTTCTGATGAAATGATGGTATGATGTTACAGCATGTTTCTCATGAAGTCGTTCTCATCGATGTCATGGCGGACAAATTGAAAGGCGAAATGATGGATCTTCAGCACGGTAGCTCGTTCTTGAAGAACGCACGTATCAATGCTAGCACAGATTATGCGGCTACATCAAACTCAAGCTTATGCATTATAACTGCTGGTGCACGTCAGCGTGAAGGTGAAACCCGAATTGATTTGGTGCAGAGAAATACAGACATATTTAAAGGGATAATTCCACAATTGGTAAAGTTTAGTCCCAATACCATTCTTCTGGTTGTATCAAATCCAGTAGACATTTTGACATATGTGGCATGGAAATTATCTGGCTTTCCAAAAAATCGGGTCATCGGAAGTGGAACCAATCTTGATTCTGCGAGATTTAGATTTTTGCTTTCTCAAAAATTGAATGTCGCACCTACTTCCTGCCATGGATGGATTATTGGAGAGCATGGAGATACTAGTGGTAATTGTTACATCAGCTATATATTATATTATATTATATTATATTATATTAATATTGAATATCTGTTTGTTAATTTTACAACAGTACCTGTATGGTCTGGCGTGAATGTTGCCGGCGTTCGTCTACGAGATCTGGACGAAAATGTCGGAACTGATAAGGATACAGAGAATTATGGCGATATTCACAAACAAGTCGTGCATAGTGCTTATGAAGTTATTAAATTGAAGGGATATACATCGTGGGCCATTGGCCTAAGTATTTCTAATCTTGCATCAGCCATACTTAGAAATTCTAGTCAGGTTCATGCTGTATCTACAATGTGTACAGTAAGTAATCTGATAAGTAGTCAATTAATGCATCACGTCTACATTTCATTATCCATTCTATCAGTCTAAATATATTTTTTTTCTAATTTTTTGTCCTCAGGGTCTTCACGGTATTTCGGAGGAAGTTTTTCTTTCTGTTCCATGTGTTCTCGGAGAAAGTGGTGTTACATCTATTGTTCGTCAAAAACTTACTGATCAAGAGCAAAATCTCCTAAAAAAATCAGCGATTGCGATGCATGAGGTCCAATCGAGCCTCAAATTTTAATTCAAAATTATTATTATTATTATACAACCTCTGATGTTCACTGTAATGTGTTTCCAGTCCGCTGTGTTGCATTTTAATTTTTTGGTGACAAATGGTCACCCCATCAGTATTTTCTGCCATTTGTATTTTTCAAAAAATCTAGCATTATGTATGTATTATGTTGTAGTGCACTTATCGTTTGAAATTTCTCAGATGAATGTTTACATTTTCAATGATTTATCATGCCCTGCCATAAATAATTCATTTTTTCTATTTTCTTCCATAATATAAAAAATATTTTCCAAGTATTAATGTGCATAGGGAAATGATATAATAAATAAACCCATGTATGCAGCCTATTTTTTTTTTTTTTCATTTTCCTTTTTCTTCTTAATTGTATACTATACGTGAAATGTATATTACCTGAAGTTTGAGTTAATAATATCGAACAGTTGATGGATTAAATCATGAAAGTGAAAATGGTATTTTTGACTTAAATTTGTCATATAAAATAATTATTAAAAAAGTTGCTCATATAAAAATATAGTCGAGTCATTGGGAAGAAAATGCGTCGAAAATTTACACTTTTTGCATATTTGACGTCAATTATTCCCAAAAAATCACGATATTATGGAACCTTAACCAAAGAAACTAACAAATTTCCATTATCCATGCGTCAAAATATTGGCTTGAGAATTCAAATTCAAAGGCTGGCGAATTTTCAGTGAGAATATTGGAGCATCGATTGAATGGTAATAATAATAAATAATTACTAAGAAAAAATATTTTTAACCATTATTCAGATCACCGGCATGCCTTCGAGAAGAATTATTATGCAAAGTTAGTGATCCAGCACGGAATGGGCAGGATAAAGTAACAATTGTTGGAGCTGGTATGGTTGGTGTTGCCTGTGCTAATGCAATTCTCTTTCAAAGGATTAGCAGTCACATAGCTATCGTTGATGCATTTCCAAAAAAACTAGAAGGTGAAGGGATGGACTATTGTCATGGTTCTGTGTTTTTAGATGATCCTCATATAGAATTCGATACTAGTAAGTCGAATGGCGAAAAGCATTTTCTATTCCATATATTTGGTAGGCTGTTACAACAAATGTTGATTATTTTTAGATTTTTGCGTATCAAGAGAGTCAAAAGTTGTCATAATAACAAGTGGTGCACGACAGAAAAAAGGAGAGAGCCGATTAGATCTTGTTCAAAGAAACACGGAAATAATAAGAAATATCATTCCACCACTTGTTGAATATAGTCCAAATGCCGTCTTTTTAATTGTATCCAATCCAGGTTAAAAACAAATTATCAATCATTATTTAATGTTCAATAATATTAAAAATTATTATTTTACGTTTTACGCGATACAGTTGATATATTATCGTGGGTAACATGGAAAGTTAGTGGTTTACCATTTAATCGAGTAATTGGCACTGGTTGCCATTTGGATACTGCTCGATTTCGCTGTTCTATTGCAAAAAGGCTCGGAGTCTCAACAAAGTCTGTACACGGATTCATTGTCGGAGAACATGGTGATAGCCAAGGTAAAATTTTATCACATTACAGAGATGAGCTAGAAAACAACTTGTCATGTTATTTCTATTTTAGTACCATTGTGGTCAGGTGTTAATGTAGCAGGGGTACTTTTTCGAGATATTATATCACATGTCGGACTCGAAATGGATGAAGAGGGTTGGAATGACATGGTCAAGAGTGTTATTAAAGCGTGGGTTTAATCGTTAAATTGCACTTTTTTTTCCTCTATTAAATTAAATTTTTAACGTGAATTTTATATTACTAGCATTCTAATTTACTTGATATTTTCAATTCGCCAGCGGTTCTACAGTCAGATGTTTGAAAGGATATTCTAATACGGCCGTAGGTTTGTCAGCTGCTGATATTACAAGAGATATCTTGAGAAATAGTCAGACAGTCAAATCTGTATCCACATTTATTCATGTGAGCTTATGTTTAAAACTTTAGTTCCAATAATATTTGTGTAAAACACAACCGTAGAAATAATACAAAATACCTTGATTATTATTTCAGGGCCACCACAATATTTGTCAACAAGTATTTCTATCTCTCCCATGTACAATTGGAGCGAACGGTATCACCCAAGTAATTCGAATGCGAATAACAGAGTACGAGAAGAAATTATTACATAATTGCGCGGAAATAATTCACAATACGCAAAAGAATATTAAAATATCCTGATGACCATCATACTTATTAAAATTTAAAACAGACGACGGTGAATTGAAGTACAAGAAGAAAAGGAAATGTCAAACGGCATGTTCGATGTATCAATCGCTGTCTTTTTTTATTTTGGATCTATATTTATCGCTAACTCTGGGTATAAATATCAAAATTGATAAAAAAAAATTCTTTTTTATATTATAATAATAATAGTAGTAGTAATAATAATAATAATAATAATAATAATAATAAAATCGTGGTTATAAGCGTTGACAGTAGCAATATATAAAATAAGGGATTGTGAATTATGATAAGAGAGATAGAGAAAAAAACTCGGACGATTGATGAAGAAAATTTTCGTTCAACGGCATTGTTTACGCCTCTGCGAGGCTAGAGACCGGCCGCGGCAAGATAAGCGGACAATTTGAAATTTCGCCGCAGAGGGGCATTTATTTTAACACTAGCAGTTGAAGAAATAATTTGCTACTATTCAGAAGTCAGCCGTAGTAAAATAGCCATGCACAGTAGTAACATATTCTTTACTGTAATTTTCTCATTGGTCGAAAAAAAAATTACCTTGTTAAAATGTCGGATATTTTCATTTGAAAATCCATCGTGCTGTATGCTGATGATGATGATGGAAAAAAAAATCTTCTTCTTTTATTATCATGAAAAAAATAAAATGCCTTGAATCAGTCAAAGACAGATCCATCAAAGATATAGGGAACTGTACAATGCTGTTGGGTTGTTGTATCAATTTCATTAATCTGCAGTGGTGATGACAGTCGTCAGGGTGCTCGTACTGCATTCTACGTACCTGGATAATGAGGAGAACACACGGGAGGTAGGTGTGTTAGTTCTGGAGGTCCGTTCTCCTGGTGACTTGGTGTAATCACTCAGTGGAGCTCAGTCACTTGGTAGCACAGAGTAAGAGAAGAGATATTTGAGCTTGAAAGTGGAATCACGGTCGAGACTAGAATATGGTTATACTCATCAATTGAGTAACATGTTGGACTAAATGGCAATAAATATAAAATTGGCCATATTTGTTGAGAGCCATCAATTGAAATCCTTATACGAGGTAGAATATCAGAATATTGGTTTTCTAGTAATAACGGTACTTGGAAAGTTTATCAACTAATCAATGATTGATTACTGGACTGTGTGAAAATATTGTGAATCCCGATAGTCGATCAAACTATTTCACCTGCGCTTGAGATTGAAACAGGAAGGGGCGTGTCGTTGACTCGCTTAGTCGGGAAATGACTATATCTTACGCTAGTGAAGTCCCAAATGGATCCAGCTTTGGCTGTTTCTGGAGAATTCTTATTAAGTAAGTAAAACTATTATTCGTTCATTAATGTAATCTTGATAAACAATGAGATTAAGACACAGACCAAAGAAACTCAATTTTTATGACACTTTTAATGCTTTTTCGAATATCAAACCAATGAAGTAAGAGCGACGGTGTGGTTGGACTTTGTACCAGTATGCTGAATTGTTCTTTACATTGAACAATGCAGATCACATTATTTTTTACGTCAATTATTCATGCAAATATAACTTGACTATCATTCTAACACAATCAGATGTGTAGGCCTATCATAGTGCAATGATTTTTACTTTTCGCACTCGTATTAAAATTATCTGTCAGGAGTGATTCAATTTGCAACAGACCGCAAAGTCAATAATACAAAAGTCAAGACTAATAAAAAATTGATTGTAGATCCACATATGTAAAATCAACCCCCTGTGATTACGCTAGTTTAACTGTTCAACTGTTTTTTAGGATATTTCGAGAAGGGAAAATATATTCACACCATATCTGTTTTTCCCTAAAATACACATTATTTTTCCCTCTTCAATCTCAGATTGCTATTATTTATAAATTCCTCGGTTATGATCTTTCTACTTGTCACACGGTACGGATATGCTTTTCTCTTACTGAGAAGTCAACTTTTGCCACTGAACACTTTTAAACTCATACATACAACATGGTTCCGGTTTTCAATAAACTGAGACGACCTTCGTGGGTGTCCAATGAATTCTTTGAACATTTGATTCAAGGCTTTCTACTTCTTCTTTTGCTTTGTATATTTATTTATACTCATTTTACGATAGTAATAATAATAATAATTCCTTTTGCAACATAAAATTTAAATGTAATCAAAAGGTTCCTTCTCTCCGTGGTGAACTTTTCTCGAAATCAAAATTTTCAATTTATCCACATATGTTTATTCAATTGATTCTCATCTTATCTCTGCTCTCATTTGCCACATGGCTAACATGACATGTTTTTTTAAATAATAATAATAATAATACTAGCATTACTAGCATCAAAAATAAATGCATTAAATGCATCACATTCCAACGATGGAACAATGTAATGAAGAAAACGATTCCAAAGAAAGTTTTTTTTTCCGTAAAACACGTATGCTACATTTGAATACACTTGCTGTGCTAAACTAACATATCGACTACATGATATATGGGTTGAGCATTATGTATTATACTTCTTGATTTATTGAGCTTAATTCAATACGTTTCATGCACTTTACACATTTGATTGTCGTTCAGATCGCCGATGTCAAATCTGAAATGGACTTTCCATCTTTCAGGGTCTCTAATGGTAGCGGACAACATATAATTGTTTTCATTTTTTTTTTTCAATTTTTTCCATCTTTCTATAGATTTCCATGACATGCGGATACAGATCGCAAGACGCTATTAATATCAAGGACGTTATGTTGCTTTAATTTTGCGTGGCTCTTTTTTTTTCATTCAATGTATCACTGAATGCCATTGAAGATGAATAACAGATTCTTCCAAGATGATAGATGTATAGCCCCAGTAACTCATAACTTATTCCCCTCACTTTTGATTAAGTGGAAGAACAATTCTATTGCTAATTTCTCATAGTTCGCCACACATAATGAGTCATGTAATATGAGAGAAAAAAAAATCCATTTTATCAGCGGCTAAGCAATGAATTCTAGATGAATGAAACAATTACAAATTATTTTAGAAGAAAATTAATCATAATTGATTTATCCTTCTCAGTCACGGCCAATGGTTGGACAGTAATTAATTTATAAAAGAGAAATTTACCATATGTTACTCTCACATATACCTTTATAGCAAATTCCAATTATCGAGAAAAGCTGGACAAATACTGTGGCACCGCTTCCACGGAGCGTGACCAGTAATGGATGATGGAATTATGCAACACATTTAAATTGTCCTACAACTCTCAGATGACCTTGCTTTGCATAGAAGCATCCGCTGCTAATATTATTCTAGATATTTCTCCTTTTTTTATCTATTACTTTTTTATTTATTATTATAACTCATTATTTATTATAATTTTCCATGTACGATTCAAGAGAGAATGGACAAAAAATTTGCCCAAAAATGAATCGAAATCACAATAAAACATAGTTCAAGAATAAGTAATATTAGCAATAAAAAATCCCTCCTTTTGTTAAGGTCAATTAAGGTTCCTTATAACTAACCTTCATCAGCGAATTGCCGTGAATTCACAATTACTTTGGTGGCCTTTATTCTGTAATAGTGTGCCTGATACTTTTTACTCGATTACGAGAATTGCCTGAAAAATAATAAATATGAAGTACCCATATGTACGCTGTTCTCGAAGAGATACAAGGCTACCGCGTAAATGTGTCACTGTCAATTCAACTGTAGTGATTGCTGATCAGTATGTTTGTCACTCGCCCAAAAATGCTATTAATTTATTGTTTGAAATATTGTCTTCGATAATCGAAAGGCAATAATATTATTGATCTAATAAAAACTCTGCTGTCTGTTGTCTCAGAAGGCCGTCATCCTCTATGGTTTAATGCATTTCAATCAGATCCCGGAATCTTATATCTTCGAATCAACTATTTTTCTTTCGGACAAATGATTCGGTACATTATATTTTCACCATTGAGAAAAGTAAATTACAAACATCTTTGGAGAGTGCCAATGCTAATTCACGTTTCACAAGCGTGTTTAACATTCTGACGCGATTCGTACGTGTTTTTTCGAGTCTCACTGATTACTTCCTACTTTTCAATTTTTGCAAATTTACTCACTCGTGAATAAAAGTTTATCCACAAATTCCATTTCTCGTTATGAGAAGAAAAAAAAAATTTAACATATTTAATAATAATATAATATAATTAAACCGAAAACATGAAATTATAATGGTGATAAATAGTGTTAACATTTTAATAAGAACGCTTCTCTAAAAAATACAATACTTTCGTTTCAAGTAAACAGAAATTATTGTCCAGCGAATATTAAAAACCAGTGTAGAGTAATAAATTCTATTTTGAGAGTTGAAAAAATCATTGAGCGTAAAACAAATTTCTAACTGGGAATGGAAATGTGATCACGGCCGTCACGAAAAAGGTAAAAGATTTCATTAGGCACGAAAATTTTTATCAAATCGTTTCGGGTGAAATATTATAAAGATATAAATATGTATAGAATTGGCAATCAGACAAATTAAAGAGAGAATTCGAAATAAATGCAACAAGAGAAACATTTATCATGAAATACTTTCTAAAATTTTATCCAGAAATCATGAATTTCATTTTTATGTGATAGATGGCGAGGATCAGTATACAAACTCATATGGAGGGAATTATTAGCTTATCTCTTCGTGTATTATATGATAAATATAACTTATAGATATGCACTTAACGATCAACAACAGAGGTTAGTATTTGCAAAAAAACTTTTTTTAATGCATATTGTTTCACTAATGTGTCCTTACTTTGCCGATAAAATTTCAATTATTCATTGTAGGATATTTGAAAAAATACGCTTTTATTTTGGAAATTCGAGCGAGTCGATACCGATGTCGTTCGTTCTGGGATTTTACGTTAGTCTCGTCGTAAAAAGATGGTGGGAACAGTATAAACTACTTCCTTGGCCTGATAACTTGGCCCTATTCATCAGTGCAGCCATACCAGGAATCGTAAGTAATTGTTGATTTTTACATTATTTTCCAGCATCAATTACCTCGTTTATTCGCTAGTACTCCTACAGGCCCTGATAGCTCTGGTAATCGACTCTTCCAATGTTCGTCACAATTGTCGAATAAAATATTATCCGCGCGATTACTCATATATCCATAAATAATAAACTATGTATACCACAATTTGTCGCGTCAACATTATGCTGAGGACGAATTATACAAATAAGTTTCCATGACACCTTTCGATGTCGTTAACCGCGTGTAAGTGGGTAACAATCGTTTATCGTAGGTATACATATACCACCACAACACCCGATACTAATCAGAAGCTGAAAAAAGACACCTCATCCTCTCCCCAAAGTTTATTACTATATTTAATGACAGCTAGAAAAAAAGCATTTGGAAGTATGTAAAATATTGCACAAAAGCACACTGTGCGATGAGTAATGAGCATACTGCCCTTTATTCAGTCTTGCATATTACATTCAAACCTGCTTCTATCCATAGTAACTCTGGCAAAAAAAAATTCGAGAAAGGCCGGGAAAAAACTCCGAGAATGTTTAAAAGTGTAGAGAGAATTATGGAAATGGATTTCATACTTCGTACTTATATTATTGATAAAATTATGGAATTTGAAACTTAATCTTGATTGATTTGTGTACAAAATACGTTACCAATCAATGCCTCAAGCTACATCATCATAAGTTATGCTGATTGACAATTCAGCACATTTTCATGTATACAAGGCAAATACATGAAGGACAATTTCTATTATTATTATTATTATTATTATTATTATTATTATTATTATTATTATTATTATTCCATAGGTAAAGGCACATACTTTATACGATTGCAAAATGCCAGTTTCAGTATAACGAGATGAGTGGTGGTGCAAGAGTGAGGGGAAAATTGAAACAATAACAATTAAATATAGCCAATGGAATTCTAGGCGTGATTTGACGATTTAAATTCTTGAAACGGAGAAAGTGTTTGAGGGATACAATACGCGAAAGGAATTTAATGAAAACCAGTTCAGCTGTTGAATTTTGTACGAATCGTTTTAAAAATTAACATTGCATGAATAAATGTTGTCGATCGTTTCAGGATGAACGAGGACGATTGATGAGACGTAATATCGTCAGATACGCTGTATTGGCGTATGTAATTACATTACAAAGAATTTCATTGAGGGTGAAAAGGCGTTTTCCAACACTTCAGCATATTGTCGATGTAGGTGAGTATTTTTTTCTTTTCTTAAATATAAACATCGATGTTTTAATTAATTGGGGTAATAAAGAGATACAATGAGTTATTATGACGAGTAAACGACAACAAAAACTATGAAAACCAGAGATTTTTTTTTTCTCCCAATTCCATTCAAATGCTATATTTGTTCTTTCAGTTTTCAATTTAGTTGAAAATACGATGAAATTCTCATGTTTATTTACAAACATTATCATGTACAGTCAATTCAGTGGGAAAAATTCAGATGTTATTACATAATTCAACAGGGTTGCATTTTATATGTGGAAGAGACTGCTTTTAATGGCCGTATTTAACGTATCCAAGATTCAAGAGAATTGCTCGTCCGTAGATGGCGTCATCGATGAAATCGCCAATGAATTGGCGATTCATTAAAGACCTACATGTAAATAGAATAAATTAATTGTCCACAGGCTTAATGATGGAGTCAGAGAAGAAGATTTTTGAAATGATGAATAAGAAAGCAGCAATGTCCAAGTACTGGATGCCATTGGTGTGGGCAACGAATATAATAAATCGAGCAAGAAAAGAAAAGCTCATTGAAAGTGATCATGTAGTTCAAACACTTTTGGTAGAGTTGAGCGACATTAGAAAGCGATTAGGTGCTTTAATTGGATATGATACGGTGTGTGTTCCACTCGTTTATACGCAGGTGAGTAAAATTATACCAGCCGTTCGGCGACAATGCAAAAGAATACCAATTAAATTATACTAGAGAGACTCTGTGTATTTTTCAAGAAATTCACAAATATCCCATATAATATTTTTCATTTCTATTACTTTTTCTTTAGTTTATCAATTTTTTTTCATGTCTTTTGACACTGGTGCTCATTTTGCATTGTAATCGATTCTCAATGTAAAAATTTGTATTTTCCATCACAATGTCATTTTTTATTGTATTTCTATTGAAAAGAAAAATAGATAACTTTTCTCTATGAAATTCCAATGGTATCAATCCTTAGCAACGAAAAGCGCGTCATTCTCAAATTTTACCATAAGGATAAGAATTAGTCAACCATTGTGTTGTATAATGGATCATGAGGATAGCCTCTGTAATGCATGGATTAGGTTATTATTATCGGGGAGAAGCGCCAACGAGATGGTGAATAATTTTTCTACTATTATTCTGCACTGTAATACGTGACAAGTATCCATTTATACATCTACAATTAAACATATGTTGTCAATTTTGCCTTGGAAAATCAAAGTTATTGCAATTTACGGAAGAACATGTTGAGAAATAATGTACTTATTTGATTCTTATATTTTGATGTTTACAGGTAGTTACATTATCCCTGTACGCGTACTTCTTTTCAGCCCTGTTGGGACGCCAGTTTGTCGAGCGTTCGTCCAATGGAGCTGGTTCACCTGGAAAATATGAAGATCCGGATATGTATTTTCCAGTTTTCACCACACTTCAGGTAATTAAATTAAAAATCATTTTATAATAATAATAATAATAATAATAATAATAATAATAATAATAATTGTTTTTGTAAGACAAAGTTGTAAATTTACTTAATCATAAAAATGTTTCCGCATATGCAGTTTTGTTTTTACGTTGGATGGTTGAAAGTCGCCGAGGTGCTGATAAATCCTTTTGGTGAAGATGATGACGATATTGAATTGAACTGGCTAATTGATCGACATATAAAGGTAAAAACATGATGGATGTGAACTGTTTTTATCTCAAGAAGAAGAAAAAAAACTCAAATGAATTAAATGAATGATTTTTTTTTTGTTTTTTGTTCAATTCTCGGGGTCTATTTCCAGGCTGCATACATGATAGTAGATGAGATGCATGAAGAACATCCTGAATTGCTGAAAGATCAATATTGGGATGAGGTTGTGCCGAAAGATTTGCCCTATACAGTAGCCAGCGAACAGTATCGTAGAGAAGAACCAAAAGGTTCAGCTGAACACTACAAAGTCAAGGAGAGCGATGCTCTCTATGCCAATGTTATGCTTGGTACTCAAATACACAGTGGAAATCAACATAGAAAGTTGCACCAAGATGATATGTATGCAGATTACGAGAGTGTCGATACGCCTCTAGTTGAAAGACGGAAGAATTGGCTTCAGCGACAAATAACACGAATGGGCTCTGTTAGAAGTTCATCAACGACGTACAGTAGTAGTGGATTTTTTTCACGAAATCGCCATAACAGTGTATACAGTAGCCCAGAAAGTGGAGGATTGCCGCAAACTAATCCTCATCCCAATGTCAAGATGTCTCTCTATGATCGACTTGTGGGAAGAAAGAGTATACGGAGTCAACGTTTAGGACGTCAAGGAACAATGACAAAATTACACTCAGTTCCCATATCACTAAAAAATCGACCGAGAATACCTACGCCAGATGTGACAAAAGAAGTAGTTGATCGTGAACAGAGGCTTGCCTTATCAGTGAGTAATGCAGCAACTATTGGCGCAGGTGTAGTGGGAGTTATTCCCACAGCTAATGGTTCTTATGCAGCAGATCTGCCAGTAGTTCAAGTTGTTTTATCACCAATTCAAGAAACCGAATCTACTCCTTCAGCAAGTAGAGGGGGTACAGCTGCAGCAGCACTTGCTCAAGCAGTTCTTCCTCCAACTTTAACAAGTGCGGGTCTAGTAGCACCGGTTACTTTAACTCCAGTAACAATGAGTCAACTTACTGAATTAGGTCTCGTCACAACAACTTCAGCTTCAATGCCACAATCCAATGGCAATTGTCATATTACCCTAACCGAGGTTAATAGCAGTGAAGAAGAAACATCTACTGCTAGCAATACTAGTAATTCAAGACATGAAAGTATAAAAACCGATCGCGAGGAAGGACAACACCACAGTTCACCTGGTGGTAGTCAAGCCAATTCACCGAGCATTGAAAATCCTTCCGCCGGCGGATATATTACATCAACAAACGATGTTATCACACATCAACAAAATGATGTTAAGGGAAGGCGATCGAGCTCTCTGCCTGGGACAACTCCTACAATGCCACTCAGAGAAGATAGGAGTTTTTCATTGCCGCATGAAATTCAAACTATTTCTGCTACAAACAAACATATTAATTCACTTTTGGCGGCAGCACCAGGAGTTGTTAATCTTCAAGGAAGACAGAGAACAAGTAGCGTTGGTGGTGACTCGCCTCGACCAAGACTTCAAGAATCTCAACGGAGAATTAGTACGCCTGCTAGTACAAATTCAGCAATGTTAACAGGGAACATATCGACTGGATCTTCCAGTGGGATTAAAAGAGGTGAAGTTTATGTTTGACATGATTTTTTAAAATTTTACCATATCCTGTGAATATTGTCATTCCATGTAAAAAAAAAAAAAAAACAAAACAAAACAAACAATCGACCATTTGTTTTACAAGTCTATAGGAGAAATTGGGTCTTGAGACAGCTGAGAATACTAATAACGGTTTTAGTAATGATGAATATATCGTTCATAGCCGTTTTTTCACGTTGTTAATTCAAGAAGGTATTAGTGCTCATGGCTGTATGTATTGTAAGGGAATTGAGTGACTCAGGAGAACACTATTTCTTAATGAAAAAAAAGTGTAATAATAGAGTAGGGCGGGGACTCAAGTTTACGATTCAAATCATCCATTAATAAGGACTCGACGTTATAGATATTTTCCTTGGTGACTAACGTTAACTATAGTATTTCATTGATGTAAATATTATTTTGTTGATATTCTCTTTTCTACATATCTTAAAAAAATCAATCTCATTAATAGTCCCCATATAATAAAATAAATTAAAGGAGATAAATAACTCATTAGGCGGTAATGGGGAATGAAAAATAAAATTTGTGATATGACTGATTGTTGAGAATTTTCTCAATGTAAATGTTATATATTCTATCGTACGAATAAGATCTGATCGTTGATATGGATAATTCGGCCGTGGAAAACCTTGTACAATTTTACATTCAATTTTATAATTTTCATCTACATGCTGCAAATAATAATCCATCATCGAAAATATGATGAATTTACAGTTTTGTCTCAAGACAAATGATTTTTTAACAAAAAAACAATGGGTGCTTTTTACTTCCACAAGCAAATGGCCAATGTGATCGACTACTGAGCCTATTTTTACGTGTTATCATTGTATTTATTACGATTAGAAAACAAATATTAATCATATGTAGCCCAAAATAATGGAATGAACCTACTTCTTACATATGATGATAATTGTATTGAATTGAATAAGCTTTTTACATTAACAATATCCCTGGACCATTGCTCAATAATGCCTCAATTGAAGAAATCGATAGGTGTGCTTCGTTTACCACCGCAGTCGATGAGTTTGTTAGGATAATTTGTGATGGGGGCTTTGTGCAATTATTGTGTTGTATAAACATAAAATCTTTCCTTTCAAGAAGACACATCTTGACGATCATTCACGATCAATCTGAAGAAGTGTTCATGTTTTTGTGGTTTGATTATCTATGAAAGTTCAGTATTTGTGTATAATAGCCAATAAAATGAGTTGTTTTGAACTGAACAATCATTTTCTCGACCTCTCTTCGCTTGCATGGATTGTCAATTATGTATGTAAAAGCAATAAAAGAAATTGTATTTTCTTATCGGATAATAGAAAATGGCTGTGACTTTGCTGATATATAATTATTAAATACAATTTCATGGGTTTTTATTGATTTTTGCTTTTTATGAATATTGTTTTCTTTTTACATCCATTTTCGGATGTTTAAATATTGTTTCATCATATCTCGATGAAATTACGATTATTCATTTTTATCTTCTATTTTTCAATGCATTCAACTATTTTTCTGATTCAATTCTCCTCCTCACCGCTGTGAAACAAGATCTGGCGTCTCATTGTATGGATTCAAGAAAATACATTAATTATTTCATTTAGGTATGTGCTATATGAAATTGTAGTAGGAAAAAAAAACTCAACAATCCGCTCGTTGGATTCACTCGTTGTATGTAAGAGATTCTCATATTTAAGCGAGAAAGAGTTGAATAAATAAACAAGCAAAAGAACTGATGGAGCGAGCTTCAGAAACCGGACTTTTCCTTGTGTGGACCTGTGTGTGCGAATAATGACAACTGGAACCTCCAGAAGTTGTGGCCCACGAATGAGAATCAACTTCCTTGTTTCTGAGCAAAAATTCAGTTGAGTTCATTGACACTGTGGAATAATCACGTTGTTTTATCATGGTGAAATTGACTTTTTTCTTTGTCAATAAGTATTATGGCAATAAATGGAGCGCATTCTTCTCCAATATCAAATAATGGTTTTAGCTATGATGTTTCATATAAAACGATTGGAATAAGAATTTGAATTTGAAAGTGCAGAGTCAGAGTGAGAGTGAGAGAGTTTGACGATAGTAGCCTTTAAAAGTCATCACGTTTATTCATCAATTTTGATGACCTCAGTGGCACTCTAGTATCATGTCACAGAGACAAGAGGGGAGAAAAGTGATGATAATGATGACTAATACGTCTTTTTCCATCTACTTCCATTAAATAAATTTACCAAAATTATCGAATTCTATCATATGGGATGAATTTATACTGAAGAAAAGAAGGAACTCGACGTCCTTGGTTCTACGGCAGATGGTCAGCAAGAGACGGAGGTATACGAGGTGTACGTCTCAAATAGTATATACATTGAGTATGTAGACATATGTACCCTGTCTACATCTTATTCGCAGCTCTTTTCCATTTTTTTTTTTCATGCTCAAAATATTAAGAGTCCCAACTCAAAACGCCACGGTTAGCATATATGCTATATTTACGCACAATATGATGAAATAAAACACTACCAGCAATCCATGGAAATAGATATGTTATTTATTTAACTAAATTGTTATTCCATCATAATATGTACGAGGGCAGATGAAAAATGTAAGCTCCATTAATTAACATTCTTCGGGCTCGTATGATGAGAAATGAAATTCTTGTCGTTTGTTGACTACCACTGATGATTTAAATGAACCAAAGTGGAAAATTGATAGTATTCACAGGAATTGACTACATAATCAATGATTGAAATGATATGTACATGCTGGGAATGATAAGTGAGATTTTTAGATTATAACGACCTAGCATTGAACTCACTAACTCACCGACTTCACCCGGCGTTCAAGTCATCCTAAAATATACATAGATGATGCGTATATCCAGTACAATCAATTTGTTATATCTATATGTATACGAGCTTTATATATATTTTAATACTACATGATAGTCTCGTTATTGGTTGGACAACCTTTTATATTACAGTGCGTAAGGAAGCCTAAGGATTAATGATATTATTTGACAATAACATCCGTCATTCTACTTTCGATAAATGAAAACGGTGGAAAAAGAAAAAAAAATCTATATGTAGATAATATATGTATAAAATGAAGACATAATCAGTTTAGTGAAGGAAAATTATTATATTTTGTGGTGTGCTTTTCTTATTTGCTTATTTCGTTCCTACTGTAACATTAGAGCCGGCATGTGCGAGTAGAGGATTGAAGCCGGTATAGCGGTCGTTTGCCTTGGGTTGCCTTCAAAGCGTCATCGGTAGTGTATAGTGGTGGAGAACGCTCGATCCTGATTCTGAGTCCGTCCGGTTTCCGCCGCGCGCATTCCATCCACCATCACACTCTTATGTCTTTCTTTTTTCTCAACGACGAACGAGTGATGTTGTGCTTTGTACTGTATAGTGCTTCTTAGTATATGTATATCCATGAACTCATCGCATACATACCCCACTCTCAACAAATATCGAGATTTAACGATTATACTCGAAGCTGACTCGACTCTCCCCCACTTTGGCCCGAGAATGCACTCGGTAATCTTCGGCACCAGTCGTACATTGACATTCGCCTAGAGTGGTTACCAGCTTACCGCGTAAGACGCGTGTTGGAGCTGGAATTAGTGATTCTGCTACCCTGGAATTTAACTCCCTCAGCAGATTCTTCTAATTTAAAAAATTTACGGAATCTTGAATGTCAATAACGATCATGACTATCAGTGAAAAAACTTATTGGATTTTTCATAAAATGTGATCAATGTGAAGAGAAGTGTCTTACCACATAATGATGAAGTTTATAAGTTTATTTGTTGTGCTATTATGCCCCGTAATACTGAATCTTTGATTGTTTAAAATTAATTAATAAACAAGAGAGCACACGAACTGGAATTCTGCATTTCTACAGGTATCGTATACTCGTTCAATTTTACTTTTCACACTTTCCGATTAAGTGATCTTACGAAGAATTAGCATTCATTACCAAATTGAAGAGAACATACAGAAGGGGAATCCGAGCATTAGTATTTGGAAATTTATACTTGAAAGAAAATTGCAATCTTTTTTTTTTTTTAATTTGAATTTCATTGGTGGAGTAATGTGAATCGTTAATGAGCCCTCGGGATATTTATTTCACATAGTTTACAAACGTTAATCAATGTACATTGAGTAGGGGGCGGTTGAGAAGTGGAGTTACTTTGCGACTTGCCTTCATTGTCTCTCCGTGGCGACCTCGGCGTTACTTTCTACTAAAGCAGCACTCCCATGCTCCCCATGATAACTTTTTCTCCTTTTCTCTCTCCCTCCTCTTCTTCTACTTCTTCTTCTTCTTCTTCTTCTTCGTCTTCTTCTTCTCCTCCTCCTCATCTTCCTTCTTCTTCTTATTCATTCTCCGTTTTCCTTTTGTGCACTTTACCTTTTTCCGTTTCTTATATATATACTTATATATTCTTATATATATATACACTTGATAAGTATTACATGTGCACCCCAAATTATTTCCATTAAATGAATCGAATCATTTAATTTTCATGGCGGCATGGCTTTTTTGGCTCAAATGTATGACTATGGCCGCATTCCCCGAAATTTCATTAGTGCAAATCAATTGTCTGTGATTGTCTGATTCAGTCGGGAAAGAATTTTACAAAATTACAAAATGCGGAATTAATAACTGTGATGATAATCACATGGATAAAGAGATCCATTAATTTATTGAACTTATCATGATATAAAGCAACAAAAGGGCCAAGAATTCATCGAGTAACTGACAAAAGATTACAATATACAATGTATATCTCAAATGGCTTCAAGGTCTGTATAGTTAGCCTGCCTTGGAAGGAAACAAATGCATATCGAAAGTTGTACAACTGGTTTTCCATCTTTTGGCTGCGTATTTAGAGACTTGAGAATATTAGCGTGATCTATCAACAGAAAATTTAGCGTCATTGGCCAAACATAAAGCTTGCACATCTTCTTTTCCATTTCTTCTTTTACATTATTCCTGACTAAGCATGATATTTGGTGACATCGCTCAAATGTAACACCTACAGCTACAAGCGAGCGATAAACTTTATGAATGAGAAATATAAGGTGGTCCTGCCTGGTTACTAAGAATAGAGCGCGCAATAATCTATGCATATTAGTGAAAAAACACTCGTCGCAAATTATTACTATATTCATCACAATATTGTTTTTTTTTGTCTAATGTTCGCGAATTTGAATATAGCGTAGTTTTCAACACAAAGAAGGAGTTACAAAAGCAAGACGCCAGGGCAAGGCTCGCTGTCAAGGGCGCCAACTCGGTCTACCATGCATGCCTCTACATCGTGTTCATTCGGTTCGTATACTATACTCTCTTTGCCATAAGTAAGCTATTTTATTCCCTGAAGAACTTACACCGTATTATGTATTATGTATCTTTATTTTCCTCAATAATACTATGAAAACATACATACAGGAACATACATGTACAGGAATATTGACCGACAAATGTATGTTTTAATAATTATTTTTTCTCCATTTTAAAGTTTTACAAGGCTCCCTATGTTTATTATAAAAATTAACAAGTGTGTACCTACACCCGCGATCTTGGAATATTTTGCACCATTAGTACCTATCCTATTGATTTTTTTCTCGTTTAAAATTAATATATTCTGGATACACCAAATAATCAGATGAAGAATGAATTGAATGCTTATTTTTGTTGTTATTCAACACAAGCCCACAGAACTGAGGCCCAGGAGATGATTATACTTTTGCATACGACACAGATTTTGTTTTTTTTGTGCTTTTTTTTTAATGCGTTAACGATCACTAACAATCGTTTGACCGCTGTGTCCACCCACTTGGAACAACTCGGTATAGAACAATTCTATATTTGACCGAGACAACGTGGAAATTTACGGACGAATGACGACAGTTCCCATGCGCTCAACCTCTATCCTAATGTATCCATATATGTGGATCATGCGGACCTTACAGGTAGACGTCGTGTCCGTGTCTTCGCCAGCAACTCTTCAACTACTTCAGAAACCGTTACCTAACCTCATCCGATATATTCACTACTGTCGTCCTTTCTCCCCCTTTCCTTGTTCCACGCAACGTGTAGATGGTACCCAACAACATCCATCTGAGTTTGTACAGTCTCTCCAGCAATTTAATCACACTGTTTACTCTTTTCTCATTTCTTAGGAATTTTCAGTGCTTTTTTATATTGGTATTTGATTTTTCTTCCTTTTGAAGCTATATACTTTCCGGGCGCGTCTATTTATTTGCATATGTATCATATCAGCATCCATCATGAAATTGATTTTAAAGAAAGAATAAAGAAGAAATGCTGTAATATGTAAGATTTTTAATTATTAGTAGATATCACTTTTCCAAGAAGTGACATTTATTATCATTTATCTTTGAGTTCGGCATTGTCACTATGACCCAAAGGAGCATCAGATAATTGTTTGGATAATTGGTCAATTCCTTTTTTTTTATCATTTCAGCGATATTTCAGATGGCGGAACTACGAGCAACGCGATGACGGAATTTCAACCGTCTTTATCAGGATATCGCGGCCAGGATGAGGCTTCGATTCCTTCCAATAGTGATGAAAATATCTACAGGTATGTGGAAGAAAGATGCTATTTTTATTAGTTATTATGATTTTACTGTCAACTTTTCCACATTTCAGATACAGCGGAAGTGTTGGTTTCGGCAGTTTTACTCTTGTACATGATGGGGGGCGAGATGCAGAATCGCCGCCACCTACACCACCAGTTCGGGATGCATCAAGCCTCAAGAGTGTCTGCTATGGCCCGGGTCATGAGAAATATCCATCCTGGCCGAGTAGCAGAGAGAGTGAAGAGAAAAATGCCTCCTGCAATCTAACACTAGGTTCACACAGATCTAAATCATGGACTGATCATACCAATTATCCAAAAGAAAAACTAGTTCAATACACAAGACCGTTGACAAAACGTCCGATCCCAACATTTACTCATCAATTAAAGACCGTGATGGAGAAGTGTGAAAAAATACCAGCAGAATCTTTTGAATCACGCAAAAGTTTTGCCAACAATGAACAACATCGAGCGCTGAGACTGTGGCCACGCGTTGATCGAGAAGGAAAATCATATGGCGATTCTGAATATGTTGTACCCTCACCACCGGAGCGTGAACAACATCAACCATTACAAACACTCAATCATGCTGATTTTGAGGCATATATTCGGAATTATCCAGAATCACAAGTATGGTACAACCTTCTTGGAATAATTTTTTTATTATATATTCATGTATTTAATATTTAAATATGTCTTTAATCTATCATTCTTGTCCAGATTGATTGTTATAGCGGAACAACATTGACCCAAGAGGGTCTGGATGACTATACGAGAGTTGAGCATGCACAGCAAGCAAGCTACGCACAATCTGAAGGATACCACAGCTATGTATCAAGCCTTGATTCAACAACCAATACACCATTCTTAGATCGGTAAAACACTGAGATGAGCAAAAAAAAAAAACATCAACAAAGTTGATGTATTATATTTTAATATTCTAATTCCCCCCCCCCATTTTGAATTTCTTTTTTTTTACTTTTTCATGTACTGATGTGTATTAAGACTAAGGAGAGATAGTGAAGCAGTCACACACAGGTCTAACTTATCTAACTGGGAAGATATATCCCATGAAGGCAGAGATAGTGTTGTGACAACATCAAGTGGGGGCAGTGCATCAAGTAGCGAAACATTAAAGTGGCATGGATCATTATCCGATGTTAGTATATCTTCGGGGCTTCAAGCACGTCGTTTAAATTCTGAAAATTGGAAGCATACATCAATATCTGATGTGAGCAGTGTCGATGTCGACGAGAGTATTCAAAAATTAACACGTGCCAATGACTGCAAGTGTCAATCGAGTAAAACTAAACTCAATGGAAAATCAACTAAAGTTATTGGAAATACAGAATGCTTATCAGGAGTAATTAGTCAATGTACTTTTGTCAATAATGGCACATGTCAAATGCCACTCATATCTAAAGATGATTATACCGGAGATGGATATTTCAATAGAAGTGAGACAAATTCTTTGCTACATACAACAAGTGTATCAAAATCAAGTGCGAACGAACATAAAGAAGATTGGGATATAAATGAGGATGGTGTGCCTAACGGTGATCAAATAAACGTTACTGTAAATGGCACTAGTAAACAGCTAATTGCCCACAGTTCAAGAGTTCAAACGCCACAGAGACATCACTCTGAGAGTATTTTGTACTTGGACAAGAAACGCAATCAACGAAAATTCCATCCCCTATCATCCCTATCATCCCCGTTGGCAGTTCATAATAATCAAACAATAAGAATTTCTCCTTTATCTTCTCAACAAACTCATCTTTCGGTCTCCGATCGAGTTGATGAGTTGGAGAAGCAACAGCAACAGCAACAAATAAGATATACTTACTTGGACCCAGATAAACGCCATCGAGTATCAGATCCAACTCTCAAAGCTATTCAAAAGAAAGCGCTACTATCTTTCTACGAAAGGCATCATCAATCCTCTTGGAAATCTGAGCCTCAACTGATACCAGGTGGTCATGTATCTCATAGTTCGCCACCTCAGCCATTATTTCAATCAAAACTAAATTCCCCTAGACGGGCTAGTTCAGCTTCTGACTATGCTAATAGTAATTGGCGTAATAAAAATAGCAATAATAATAATAATAATAATAATCAGCAGCAGCAGCATCAGACGAATAAAAAAACCATTTCATCAGATTCACTCGATCCAAAACATAAACATACTAACAGCTGTGGAAGTCTTTCAAGTGCTTTGGTAGGACCCATGATCATTGGAACAGCTATTTCCATTGATGACTGGGTGCCAGAAAGACCGCCTAAAAAACCACATTTAAGATCACTTTATACTGATCGAATACCGAGTCCAGATCTACCCCCACCTTCTCCACCACCTGTTACTGAAAATGAAGTATTCAATTGTGATGATCCCCTGCCTCCTCCACCTACGGAACTGCACGATGGTATTCCAGAATTATGCAAAACTAATATTCAATGTACAGATAATACCCATGTGGCTATTAATGGAAATAATAATTCTATACGACGATTGAAATATGAGAAAAAAATGACGATAAATACTAATAACGATGAGTTCACTCAGGTATTGTTAAGGCAATCCGACAAAGGACTTATTCCAAATAACCATCCGACTCACCCAATTGCAAGTGGAAGATCAAGTTTCCGCTATCCATCATCAAAATGTATGGGCGAAATAAATAATGTCAAATTATCATCAAAAATTTCTGATATGTCCCAGGAGTATGGTATTGTAGGAAGAAACTACGAACGCGGTGGGCCTAAAGAATCAACCAAATCGTGGGGATACACTGGGCGCATTAATCGTGACACGGCCAGTCTCACGTTGGGTCAAAAACCTCAGCCCCAAGTTTCTAGAAATCACTCAGTATCCATCAGTGGGCAAACTCCAAAACTTAACTATTCAACACAATCAGAGTCGGCAAACAATTATCAATATTCCAATCCAAATTCTGTACACAAGTTGCTTGAGAATAACTCAAAGTCCTCAGAAGATAAAATTCTAAAAAAGTACGACGAATTATCGCAATATTTTTCGTATTATCAACAGCCAACTAACTATCCCTCACCAATCGAAAGCACTGATGCACAGAGAAATTCACAAATATCACATGCACATTTGAATTCATTATCACCTCCGCCATTGGCTCCACGACAAAATATGCCTGGTGTAAAGTCACTGCCTCCACCGCCCCGTCCAGCACCACCCGTGCAAATGTTTCACAGGTGAGTGCTGTCGTTCGAATTCATCAATTCATTTTTGCAAGACGCAAATTTCACAATACAATACAAACATATACATATCTTTTATTAATTACAATACAGATATGCTAATTATCTAATATATTCATTTCAGAAAACCCTCAAAGACTTCACATGCAATACATAAACATGAACGAGATCCAACAGATAACAATAAACGTTATAAAAGCAGTACAATGGTACAAAAATGGCCAATATACCAAAAACGTGATAATGCCTTCACACGCCAAATTTCGTCACGTCATCACAACAATGATAACTGTAACTCATCAACATTTTACCACAGCCAGACACTTGATCGAACAATTAATGAAAATAAAAGCATTAATCACAACGGGATGATTACTGAGAGGCTACTAAATGGGTCATGCGGAATTTTTCCAAAAAGTGCAAATGCGACATCTGACAATAATAACATTAATATGATCATGGCTAACCATGAATGCCAAAGTCATTCAGAGCATTCATCCAATGAGCATGAAAGTACCCCAAATAATTATAAAACTGAGAGATTGGTATTAAATGGCGTTGAACCATTCAATGATGGAAGTAGTCATTTGGGAGAAGGCGGAAATCATTCAGTTGTAACTACAATAGGTAAAAACAAAAAAAAATCATTTATTTGATTGATTATTTTTCTATTAAAATTTTAACCAAAAGAACTGCAACATTTGGATATCGATAATTTACGTTAAAACATCTTTGCACTAGCTGAAATTCCAATTGCAAAATTATACTGCTATTATGAATAAAAAAAAAATTATAAAATTTCAGAAATTACTGGAGATCATCATCGTGGACAAAAGGTAACCATTGAGATGACACCGAATAATGCCCAATGCGAGGATTCTAAAAATGCATATCTTAATCACCGGCACTCGGCAGCAGGTTCTGTCAGTGAAATTGATGTTGAAAATATTAGTGATGAAAATATGAATACAGCATCTTCTTCATTGTTGCCCCAATCACTTGAATATGCAGACTCACATGATAATAATGAAAATAGGTCAATGACATCAACGAGCTTCTCTTGCCCCGGACCTAAAGAAACGATTAATTACAGTAATCTCGATTCCGACAATAATTTAAAAAATTCATCTCAAGTGAACGATGATGTTATTGAAAGCATACTGCAGCATGAGAACCCACTCCGTGATGGCTCTAGTCAAAAAAAAAATTTATGGACAAAGTCTGATGTTTGTCAGGTCGAAAGTGTTTCTGCAAATGCATCAAGAAAAACCCCACCGGCTAAATCTAGGTCTCCATTATTATCAACTAAGTTGAAGATGTCTGACCTTTCGTACTCACCAGTGTCATCATCGTCTTCTCCAATTGATAGTAGATTCTCGCCATGCGTATCACCTCAACCTGGAATTGAAGAATTGAGGCTTCTTCAGAGGACCGAAGTAGTTCTCAGAATTAATGCCACACTTGATGCTGCTTCACAAACTGAAGTCATTAATATTCACCCAGTTGAACCAATAGATGTCAATAGCGAAAGAATTATTCCAGAAATGAGAAAAAAATTACCCGAGGAAATTGAGTGCGATGAATTGAGTAAAAATCTTGCCAATCAACTGGGACCTCATGACAAGCTGGTTCCAATTTTAGGTAGCTATTAATATTTAATATATTTTCAAATATATTCATTTATTCAAAATTTCAACTACTCAGATGATTTAATTCATTGATGAATCAAGAATGATATGATGATTGATGATGATTTTTTTTTAGTACCAACACCAGACCACAAAAGATCATCAGATTATGTTTCCGACCTTTTTCGAATACAAACCACCTTACATCCTCGTTTCAAATCAACACAATCGCACTTGCCGGAAATTGATGCTGAAGTAGGAGAAGAACACCTGCAAGTATTCTCAAATTATTACTTTTAATGAAAGAGAAGAAAATGAAAACGTGAAAATGTGGAAAAAATGTGTTCATTTTCCGATTCATGTTTTTCAGTTAAATTGATCCTTTTATTATTTTATATTTTCTTTTATCGAGTAGGAATGGAAGAGCTTCAATAAATAAGACAACCGTTCCACTATCTTCAACATCAGAATATTTCACCATTTCGGAATGTAAAGCTAGATTTCTTGCTAGATATTCACACCAAATTATGGATGAAGAACCTGCAAGAATAGATGAGCTATCAAGCAGTTGTGGTATCAATAGTTTCGATCTCAGGCAGAAAAAGGTAATGATGGCATTAATTTAAATTAATTGTTATTTCATTTAGTCTCGATTAATAACGTAATATAGAAAACTGAATTTTCAATAGATTGACTTTCACAATAACATGAATTATTCGTGAATGTAATTGATGAATATAAATTTTCCTTTTAAGGAGGAACTTGTACTCAGGTTAGATCGCAAAGTCGTCGTATTACGAGCTGAACAGGAAGCTGTGCGTGAAGAAGACGAGACGAATGAAGCACTTGGAGCAAAAGTGGCAATGAGAATTTCTGCAGTAGCAAGGCCAACTGAAGTCTCTAAATTCCGATTACATATTGAAGAAGTTGGCAAGATTACAAGTCTACTGCTGGGTTTGAGTGGCAGATTAGCAAGGATGGAAAATGCATTGCATGGAATGCCCCCTGATCATCCTGAAAAGGTAATTTATTTTAAATTAATTTATGTCAAATAAGTTTCATTCCATTACAATGATTGAAACTTATTGAATGTATTTATATTAATTAAAATTTATTCTCATCAGAAAATTTTGGAAAGTAAACGGGACAAATTGCTTGAACAACTTGAAGAAGCCAAAACTCTAAAAATTAATATTGACAAACGCAGTTCGAATGTCTCTGCAATTTTAGCAAAATACTTGAATGATGAGGAGTTCGCTGATTATCAACATTTCATCAATATGAAGACAAAATTGATTATGGATAGTCGAGAACTTCAGGATAAAGTTAAACTAGGTGAAGAACAACTGTCAGCGCTCAAAGAAGCAATTGAATAGTTTCATCAGATATGCAATGAGACAAATAAAATCGAACGAGTGCTGTGATTATAATGGAAAACTTGTGAAAAAATTTACATTATTCCTACAATGATAACTCAGTATAATGTAACCGGGAAATTACGAGACTATCATATATTTTGCTATTGATTTTTAAATTTTCAATTTTATTACTCATTAACTGTGGAGTACCAGTGAAACTCCATAAAACTCTGCAAATTTTCAAGTTCCTAGTCCTTGTTAAGTGCCCCTTATTTCAACAATAATCCTTACTCCTTCTTCATCGTTCATTAAACTATTATCAATCAACTGCTTCCTAAGCTTCGTCTGTATAATGAACATAATTTTTATTAATATGTTAATTTATTTCTATAATTGATGGATTATCCAAATTCTAATTTATTGAATTGAAAGAAATTTATGACTTGTAGCTCGGTTGTTTGAAAAAAATGGGAATTTACCATTATTATGACTCAAAAAAAATTGTGCCTAGTGCAATATTGTGCAATACCGTAAAATTCTGACCGAGTAATAATGTAGTTGAAGATTTGGTTAATCAAAAAACCCTATTCTTGGGATTTTTATGGATTTATAATGATACAGCAGAACGCTGTAATTCCCCTAAGTGATTGGATTTAAAGTTTTAGTTTTCCTTTGTTCATTGCTTTTGCAACTCTTCCTCGTGATATTTTCAACAACCAATATCTTTCCATGTCATAGATGTGAATTTATTAGCCAAAATTAATTGTCATCTAATATTCCAGTGAAATTTCACTGAACGCTTGTGATCATAATTATTTTTATTACTATTATTACTTTTAAAACATGGTGAATAATTATTATAGTTACTTTTCAGTTATTATATAATATATAGTATTTCATGATTTCACGACGAAAAAATGCGAAAAAAAATGAACGAAATTAAAGACTCAAAGGCCTCGTAATGGTATTAGTTTTTAAAGTATAAAAAATTTCGTGAAATAATAGTTATATTTTTCTACGAGTTTTTGATTATTTTTCATCAGTCGAAAAAAAATGAAACAAGTGTGCAGATTTTGAGAGTATAATAGTCAACGTTGCCTTTATCACTTCTCCGTACTAATATTTAAAGTAATATCAATTTATGCAGCATCTGTAGAGTAATCAATTTGTACATAAAAAAAAATCACCGAAAGTTATAATAATATAATATAAATGATTAGTTTGGTGCTATAAATTAATGATGATTGTAGTATCATTTTGTACACCACCAGAATCCATGAAGTAGTGGATCATAATGTAAATATATATATTTTTGTTATGATAGGCATTTGAAGTTTGGTTATTTCCATTAGGCAAGCAACATTCTTAATTATTCTATACATATGATCTTGAGAATAGTTCCATCCTTTAATAGACTGATCCTATAGTAGTATAAGCCGCTACTATGGCGTGCGCCCCCCCCCCCATCTACAATTACTTCGACCCCACCTCGTTGCTGATCAGAGTAGCACATGTTATAGCAACAAATTTTTGTGTAATTTATGCATTCATCTCTTATCAATGCTATATATTTTTTCGTACTGTTTTTCAATAAAATAATGATTCTCATGAAAATTTCCTGAACAAATCTATGCAACTGTAATTTCCAATTATTAAAAATTAAAAAAATACATCTTCTAATTTGTCTCACATGACATGTTGTAGAAGAATTTTAATGAAATCACGGATGCTTCAGTTACTCCATGCCGAGCGAGCAACTGAACAACTGGACTTGATTATTTACATAAATGCACTTCCATATTTGAGAGTAGATAGATTTTTCTGGCAAAATTCATGGCAATTTTTGACTATTATTGCCAAAATATCGTTGGAAAAATATACAAGAAGAAAGAGCGTAAAACAGAAAAAGCCCTTAAGCATGAAATTCTTACCAATTATTATGAGACCCTCCTTCCCAGTCGTCCCTCGCCATTAGAATTACAAATACCTGAGCCTATATAAGTGCATCTTGAATACGAAGCTGAAAGCAGGCAGTATTAGCCTGAACCACGGCACGCGCCTTGGGCACAAAACGTCGCAGCATTCTTCGCACAAGATTTTTAATGCCACACATTTTCACAAGAAACTCTTGAGCCTTAGGGGTATCGTTCATTCCAATGTGTCCTGAGTAATGTCCTCTGTGGTGATGACTAGAGCAATATATTTTAACATTGTATGCTTATAGATGATCACCAAAGTTTTAAGGCCTCCGTCATCAACAGAAATGATGATTTTTTTCATGAGGTTATTTCTGAGGAATAATTTATTCGAAAGTAATTCACATTAAGAAGACGCAGAATTATTTTGAATGAATCAATTTAAAGGATGTCTGTAGCATAATTCTAGGAGTTTGATTACATATCCCTGTCCCTTCGTTCGCACCCCGTATCTGACAAGTTTGCCGTGAATTACAACCGAACTGCATCACCAGAAGAGTGGTTTGTAGTTTCAGATTGTTTGGATTGTTTAGAAACTAATTTGCCACAATCAATTGTACATTGACATCCTCCAAAATTGAATTAGTTTGCAAAAGGTTTCAAAGTATATACTGTTTCACAGATTCCGACAGTCCGAGTCGTCAGCAATTGAATAGACAAAGCGATAAGCTTTCAACACCCACTTAAGTTAAATAACTGCAAAATTCAGTATTTTTTAGTTGCTAGAGATTTTACAAACACACACCCTAGTATTAAACATACTTGCTATTTACTTGGTTGAACTCACTTGAATATATACACACAGAGAATGCATGTGGCTGGCTTTGTGGTGAAAATTTCCAAAGAAAAATAATAACTACAAAATTTATGGTGTATAATGCTTCTCGGTGGATATATCCCTTGTCTCACCAGCCACAAAACCCACATCGTAGATATTTTTTAGTCGTCATAATATGCCTCAAGCCATTGTTATTTTCATCCTAGCTATGCCTGTAACGTGTATTATTTCTCCGCAATTTTATGTAAAAATTCTATTTTCATGGAGAAATGTGAAAATGGAAATTATAAGTGTCAGTTATATCATCACTACAGAGGGCTTTATTCACATTCGTAATAGAATGCTTTAGCATCAAATGGCAATCATTACAAGTCAATGTATTGGGGAAGAGCGCAGCAAAGTAGATAACTCGGAATAATACTGTCAATTAAATCGCCTCTTGGGAGCGATTATATTTACACAATTCCTTACTTATAAGTTGAAAAGAATATCTTTCATGTATCGTATCAGGGGATTGCATTTATATTTCATCAAATTAACATGACCTCACCTCTCGTCAATCATTGGTCAAACACTTTTACACAACAATTGTCTGACTGTGTCTCTCATTGTCTTTTGAAAGGATCAATTCAAATTTATCTCGATTTAATTACTGAGATTATTCATTATACAATGAAAGTTTAATGTGACATCAAACCATAAAACACAGATCGATAAATAATAGAAAAATGAATATGAACTGATGCATTTTCGCACTACCTCATAATTTTCAGAAGATACAAAAATGAAAAATTAATTGAATTTCAATAAAAAGTTGAATTTCATATGATAATTGAATTGTCAATACAACTAATATATGCATCAAAAGTTACAGTATCAAATTATTTGAAAGAATCCATTAATTATTCGTGGATCCCTCCTGATTCTTCATATTTTTTCCATCATTTATTATGTTGAAATTTTTACTTTTTTTTTTTTTTTAATATCCTTGCAAAAATATAAAGTCCTGAAAAAATAGAAACAAATACATGTTAAACGGTTAAATACGATGTTCTGTATATACTACTATATGTCTGAAGTTTTACAACAGTTTTGCGACTACAGCAATTTGGAAGTGCAACGAACGGAAGAAAAGAAAAGTTTGTTCGAGCTCTGAATAAATCTATGGCTAATACCAAGTATCCTTAGTTGAAGTATAGTAAGAAGATGGGAGGATGCTGTAAAGACGGCCGAAAAGAGGTCTTACTTCTTCAGATCTGGTTGCCTGGAGCTGAAAATATGTAAGGCCTTGCGTGCAGTTAAGTGGAGGCGTTTGCGAGTCAGGCACAAGGAGGGTGAAGGTGGTGGCGTTGGAGGCATTTTACCATGCTCTTTCTTGGTCTTTTCATCCACTGGCCTTTGGTATCCCAGTGGAGGAGAGAGTGCCTCACCCACCTGTCTGCCGGCAATCTTCTAGTAGCCTTGGGCTACCAGTTCGCGGCTACCAGAGGCTACTCTTTAGCTACCAACGTCCGGTCACTAACTCTCCACATTTTTCATTATTCCTCTTATATTTTCATAATCCACGGAGCATTTTTATGATTTACTTATGCATTATTCTTTAAGCTTTTTACATATTTTTCAAATAATCGTGCAAATATTGAATTTTTTTTTTGGTCTTCAATGATTAACTCAGGAATTGAATAAATTGAAATTGAATGCTCTCTCTTTCTCTGTTTTGCGTTAATTTCTGGATATAAGAGTTAAATTTAAACTTTATTTCAGTTCAGTATGACTGAAACCGAGGAATGATAATATTTTCAAGTTCATGCGGGGCAATGGAAGATTGATGCGTGCATGCATACAGCTCACGGATATTAGCGTGCCAGAGAGTATTAAACAGCGTGTTTTTTACTCGTCTCCTTTTCTTTCCTCTCCATTATCTCGTATCTTGCTTTCTTTTCGTTCATTCGGCACCTCTTATTTTGATTTCTTTTCAGCTTGAGGTTGAAGAAGAAAAGAAATATATCTACCTTTGTCATACCACTTTACCCGCCCACTAACCAGCTTCATCCCTCTAACTGTGGAGTGCACATACCCACCTGTAAAATTCAACTTACTGCAACAGGTGAAGAATATAGGGTAAAAGGAAAGATCACAACAGTTGCGTGTTTGCGTGCGTAAACGAAATATCCAAACGTTAATGCATCCCGTCCCACTCGCTTCAATAATTCCTTTTGTTTTAATCCCCTAATTTAATAAATGAGTGAATGTATCCTCCTTTTTCACTGTATAACGACACAAAATACTGAAAATTCATTTAACACTGCCAACAAATTGGTCAGAATAGAGAATCACTAGAATCAGGAGATTTCAATGCTTCAATGCAACTACTGTTCAATATATAGTTGTTATAGTTTGCTGGCTGTTGCAGTTCTATATTCATCACAAGTTGTGAATGTGAAAATGAGACAACAGCCGAAAGATGCCCATATTTAAAGATCCAATTATTTAGATATTTTTGATGAAGCTGTAAATATCCATTTTTTTTGCAGTCACGAGCTAGTATAACATAAAAACATAAAAACAGTGTTGACAAAAATTAATTCAATATATGGAGAAAGGAAATACGGAAGAAAATTAGCAAACAACATTTGCACGAAACTTAGAATAGCCTAAAAATTTTAGACCAAGGAGAAAGGCAAAACAAATTCTTAAGATAATTTATAAAACAATGCCACATCCCACAGACTTCTACCGTGTCTGTCGACTGGTACTCAATATTATAATAGCTTTATTATCATTAAATGTTAATCACCCAGGATGCTATTTATTAATTGAAATACATCCTTACATTTTGAGAAATTCTATCAATAATTTGCCAATCATACAATAACTTATAAACTATATTGTCATACTGTCATTGCAATTATAATTGTCCTCTCTACTCTCACCATAACGAGTGATCATGATTCATTATTTGATTTTTCTCTTCATATCACGTAGGAGTTTATTATCATTGTTTTTTTTTTAAATATCAACATAATAGTTGTGGGAGTCGTTCTATTGTGTCTTTTGGTGTTATTAACCATCCTACCTATTAGACAATTATATACGCTTGTCCTTCACTCAATGAATATTCGATTGCTTGGTGATGGTTTTTTTCACTTATCAGAGGATTCCTAACAGAGCAAAGTTTTTTTTACTAAAAAATACACCAAATTCTAGTCATCGGACATTGTTTACCAATTTCTCACAATTGTAATATTTATTAATTTAAAGTTAAATTTTTGGGTAAGAGATTATAATGGTGATTATTGCAACTATGCTTCAAGAAATTGTCAAGTCTAACGGTTTTGCGCATTATATTAATGGAAGTAGATACACGAGTATATAATATATTAGGGTTTGAATTGACTATTGAATGAAGAAATGTTCCGCACCCATGACTCTTGGTCCGAATTCCCACCGACCCCCCACATTCCCATAGCATGGGACACGAGAGAACTTGTAATTTTGGCGGGAGAGACGCTTGCGCAGCATCACTAGCAGCTTGCCCAAATTCCCACACAAACAATGATAATGCTTGCGCAT